GGATTTTCTTAAAAAATTTAAATTATTAAGTTCTTGTGCGAACCCGAACATCAAAGTTATAAAATTTTTGACTTAAATGGCAAATTTTGAGGCTTATTCCGTCTCGCTTACAATTTTTAGGGGTGTTAGGGGTATTTTTAGAAGAAAATTTCACGAAGAAACCAATGAAACCACTTTAAGACCTCAAAGTTTTGTACAAACGGAGTCATAAGCGTTTAAAGTTTCTAAATTTCGACCTCTCCTATTGACTCGATCCACTGTGCGGCGTCGAAAGGGTCTTCCTACGGAGAGGAGCTGTCTCAGAAACAACTACCCCTAATGCCTTGTCTCCGCGGGACGTTTCACGGGATTTTTCCCGAGCTCAAATCGCAGGAATGAAACTTTTGGGCTTTCCTCCCGTTAAACAACACAACACAATTTCTCCTTCTTCTTTTGAAGTCGTCTCTGGGACTCCACAATGACTCTTAGTTGTTCTACGTTTCGCAATTTGGAACTATAAATTCTAGCCCGGTTTAAAAACAACGTATGAGCCATTAGTTTCCCTATGCACATAAGTGTTTTTCCAAAAGAGCCAGAATTTATAGTTCCAAATTGCAAAATGCAGTCCATTTGGCACTGTGATTAGTATCGATTAACCCAATATTTTCCCCAACTTCGCAAGTGAGATTTTTCCCCGGGACAAATCCCATGAACCGTCGCGTGGAAACGAGGCCTATGCGTCTTGGGTACACCCCTATGGATACAACCTTAAACTCGCTCCCATAAAGCCGCGCTTCATGTGAAAAACCAGCGAAGTTACATAGCATCATATTTTATTCTACAAACCTTACAATACATTTTCCTCTATGTTTTGTGGTTTTTGCAATAGTGCATCATTTTAAACCCACATAAGAATGTACTTCTAGAGCGATTCCACTAAATTTTACACGAGGTTTACACAAAGTGTCCTTTAATGATGCTATGTTGGGGATCTCCTAAACCTTCTTCAATAACTACAATGTAACCCGCATGGGTCTTCCTGGAGAAAGGAGCTGTCTCAAAAACGACTATGAGCACACCTCTATGAATACAACCTTAAACTCATTCCCATAAATCCAGGGTCCATATGAAAAACCAGCGAAGCTACACTTGGCTCCTCTATGTTTTCTAGTTTTTGCAAAAGGGCATCATTTTAAACCCACGTAAGAATGTACTTCTAGAGCGATTCCACTAAATTTTACACGAGGTTTGCAAAAATTGTCCTTTAATGATGCTATGTTGGGGATCTTCTAAACCTTCTTCAATAATTACAATGTAACCCATATCGACGGTGTAAGTCGGCAATCACATAACTCGTTTGCGGTGTCTGAAAATCTCCGCCGTAATGTTATTTTTTTAAAGGAGAACAAATTGACATCATTCCTTGAAGTTTTTGCAGAATTTTCTTCGCATAGAGAAGGAAAATCAAGGCAGTTTTGAAGAATTGCCGTTGAGTAGTTTTCGGTGTAAAAAATAAAGTATGGCAGGAAGTCTGCGACGTCGTAAACTGAGTTATATTATTGCCGACTTACACCGTCGATTAGGGTCTTCCTAAGGAAAGTAGCTGTCTCAGAAACGACTATGGTTACACCCCTATGAATACAACCTTAAACTCGCTTCCGTTAATCCAGGCTCCATGTGAAAAACCATCGAAGCTACACTTGAAGAACTCACAAGGGTGACTGCGTGGCGCTTCAGGCCGTCGGCGGCGGCGGCTTCGCGGGGCGGTCGTGGCGGATGGAACACATCACAGCGATCACTGCCGATAGGCGATAGGCGTGGAACTGAGATTGGGGCGCGGGCTCCGGAGCTATAAAAATTGGTGGAAAGCGCACTGCACGAGCCGGGAAAGCCAGGCGTTGTCGCGTGGTGGCGGGCTACCTGCCGAGCGCGGTGTGGTGAGGCCGCGGCTGCGGATGCCATGGCGGGGAGACCCCTCTCCCCGTTATTTATAAGACAAGACAAACAATACTGCCTCTAATTACCATGTGAACAGGTGTTTGGAGCCCCGCACCCCCCCCCCCCCCCCCCCCCCCGCGGGCGGGACGGGGGCTCCGCTATCGCCGACATGCGAGTGCCGCAGTTGTCGCTCCCACAAAAAATCCCGGGGTCCGAGGACGAATTCGTTGCATGGAGGATCGTGTTTTGGTGGTTGAAGCTTGGAATCTGTGGAATATCGAAAATGGATTATATTCAGCATTAAAGAATCACTGTATCTAGCTCTCCCATAAAAGCACATATCTGCATAGGGAAACCAATGGCACGTGTGTTGTTTATAAAATGGGCCGGTAGTAATGGTTCTACATTGCAAAATGTAATCCAAGCACAGAATACCAAACGCTAAGTTTCTACGTCCGATGTAAATGGAGGATGTAATCGAGGTTTTAGAGGCAACAGAGATGGACTTCTGGCGTAGATCCGCGGGTATTTTCAGAAAGGATCGCGTCAGGAATGAGACGGTACGGGAGATCATGGATGCCAAGCAGACCATCCTGCACGACATTATGACAAAACAACTCATTTGGTATGGTCATGTCCAGAGAATGGCAGGAGACAGGTTGCCGAACTCCTTGATTGGGTTCCTCCTGGGAAAAGACGCATAGGGCGCCCAATGAAAGGTTGGAGGGAAGGGATTGAAGCGGAAATGTTAAGGTGCTCAATGCTCCAAGATTTGTGGTTTGAAAGAGAGCAGTGGAGGTTAGAAGTTCGTTTGGTGGAATAAGGATGGATGACGTCACTTATCAAAGATTTGTTTGCTGAGAACTTCCTCCGCCTCGGTCTTGTTAGCCCTATTCTGATGGACTCTGGTTTTTATTTAGAGTTTTGATAAAGGCATGAGTGCAACAGTTTAAAACGCCCAAATTAAAGTGTTACATGAGCACGGATTTGAAAGCGGAGGACGAGAAAGGAGAAGGAGAGGAAGAAGAAGAAGGTGGAGGAGAAGAAGAAGAAGACGAAGAAGCAGAATACGAGGATCAACAACGACGACAGCAGGACAAGGAAAAGGGAGAAAGAAAAAGAAAAGGGAGAAAAACATGAAAATAGAGTACAGAAAGAAAGAGAAGAGAAAGGGAACGAGGAGGGTATAAGAAAGAAGCTGTAGGAGAAAAAAGAATAATTACCTAACCTTGGTCCTTTTAATTTTTTTGCTTCCATTTATTCTTCTTCTCTCTGTTTTTAAGCATCATCGCCATCCTCTTTTCTTCCTTTTCCTGCATTTTCTATTTTTTCTTCTCCGAATTCCAAATTCCAATGCGCCCTCATCTGATATGTTAGGTGGGTGGTTCAGGATCTAAGTCTGACAGACTAGGTTAAATAATTCAATAAAAAAATCCATGAGCTCCAAGTCACCGGACAATCAGTAAACCACACTGTTGATTAAGAAATTTGTGAGTGAAGGTGTGCGTCCGCCTTAATTTTGGTGGGTATGCAACGCGCATTCCTAGGAGCTTAAATAGTCGTATTTTTATTCATCAACGGCGCTTTGACTGCAAAGGGTGCTTCAACTGTGATAGAAACGATACAGGCTATATTCTTCGTCGAAGACTCAGCATTTGGACTGATTCGTCTACATTAAATTCGATGGTTAACGCTTAAAATTGTGAATATGGGAACTAAAGGGACGTAAGTATATTACTTCTAAAATAAACCAGAAAGGGTAGTTTCTTACTTCCAAATGTAGCCCAGTTGCTCTCGAAGGAACGCTTCTTCATTTTAACTTACATTGAGTACTCACCAAATGAATTGGCAACGCCTCAAATATTGGCCACGTTGCCTTAATGACCAGAAATTCCTTTTTTTAGTTGGAACTTCGAAAAACGGAAAGCTTTCAGTACAAAACAAAACAACTCTCCTTTTCTGTGCGTCTTGTCTCGCTGCGCAGCAGACATTAACCCGGTAGGCATCCCCTCTGCAGCAGTAGCGAGGCGTGAGATCGATAATCGATAATTCCCCATTTGAAGCAATGGTAAAAAATCGATTATCCAGGTGTTTGTTACGAACACCCTGTTTACTGATCCTTTTTCATAGATTTAAATAGCAGATCAATCGATCTATCGCGAAATACACCACGCGACTGTTCTGTAGCCGGGCAAGCAATCTCAGGAGCTAAGTCAGAATATAACTCAGTGTTCCAGCATGTATTGTTCTCAAGTTAATTCGTGTGGTGGGGATAGGTTTGATGCAAGGAGGGGAACCTTGAAAGAGGGGAAGAGAATTTAAAGAGAGGTCCTCTCAAGGTAAGGAAACAGGACAAGAAAATCGACGAAAAAAGACCAGGGATTGTTTCAAACGTGATACCATTACGTCATCGTAACAATGGCTGTTGAATTTTTTTTTTCAAAACCTGTTAAAAGATTGTTAAAAATTAGATTTTAGAAGACCCTTTTTGGAAATAAAACTTACGTAATATTTTTTTTTAATAATACTTTTGCAAAAATTTAGGTTTTTCCACTTTTTTCTCCTTTAGTTTTACGTGAACAAATACCCAAGGAGAGTTTCTACTCGTAAAAACATAAATTTAAAAAGCTTCTTTGAGAGTTGCCATTTTTTTAATGTGCATGTTTTATTTTATTTTTTTTTTTTGAAAAAAAATGTAGTTATCGCTACTGGTATTAGGTATTTTCCTTTAGAATTAGAGCTCCTCTTTAAGGAGAGTATGGACACTTCTTGAGCTTCAGATAACTGATAAAAAAATATAAAAATAATAACAAAAAAGCGGACGTAGCATGCAAATAATTCAAAATAAAAGAAAATTAGGTTTAATTTTCTTGTATCACAAAAAACTTGACTCAAATTACATTGGTTGTATTGCAGGTGAATCAGATGAAAAATAATTAAATAATTGAATCCTGGTCTGAAAGTTCAACACTTGATTCTGAATTTTACAGAAGATTCTTACATCTGTATGTATTCAGAACCATCCAATGTTTAAAAAGTAATAAAATATTGAAGCTGCGAGAAAAATCGAAATTCATTGAACATTCGTTTGGATATATAATAAAAAAATAATATAATTTTCTGTTTTTATACAGTATTCAAATGAATGTTTAAGCTAAAAACTACGCAAGAACCTTTAAGTACCCATACGAGTCCCCAAAGTCCAGTCAACATTGAAAATCTAAATTTAACGAACAAGCGAAAAATTATAGACATCATCTTCTCCTATCTCTTCCTGATCACGTTATGTTTGACCCTCTCGCAAATATTCCTGATTTTTCGTTTCATCTTGAGGAGTCGTGATGGGTCCTTTTTGGATTCAAGGAGTCCCTTTAGGCCGATCCGAGTCTCTCCCGCAGGGCTGCACACATTTTCGCTGTCCCTCAAGAAGGATTCCAAGTCCAGGTCGATGGACACGAAGGAATTTTTTCGACTGGTATCGAGGGTGAGGGATTCGTCGTCCGTGCAAGAACTTAGAGTACTGTCTTTTCCTGCTGCGCTTCGTCCATTTTTCCAGGTTTCGTTGACTCTTGAACCAAGCTAAAAAAGCGAAATCAAAATCATGCGGAGGCACATCATATAGAGCGCATTTAGCAAAAAGAAACCAGCGTGATTACAATGTTTCCCAAAGTCGTAAAACTTCTTCTTTTCTTTTTTAAAAATACTGAATACATGCGCAGTATTAAAATTTACACAATTATTTTCCTTCAAAACGAACAATTTTTTGGTGGGATGCAAGAACTGTTTGCTATTTTGGGAGAGTTTTCAGATAACTACGAAGACGCAACATTTTAGGAACACTGTAATTGCGCTAGTTCCTTTTTGATAAATTCGGTCCATATCATGTTAATGCATCGATGGCCAAAATGCGGGACCACTTAGCTCCGTTTGCAACGTTGCTGACTTCCTACCGTAATTTATCTTTCCCTGGAAAACTGTTCAACGTAATTTTTGAAAATGCCCTCAAGTTTCCTTCTCTGTTAGCAGAAGATATAAGTTTCAAGCTACCAAGTTGGCCTATTTTTTCTCCTCGTAAAAGTAAAATTGTAGCAGAAATTTTCGTACACCGCAATAGGGATACGTAGTTTTGCACTTTAGCCATCGACATATTGATTCTCATACTGATAGCCAAAGTCAAAAAAAGCGTATCTTCTTGATAAAAGTTTCAAAAACTCAGCTGTCTTTCATTGATTTAAAAGTAAACCGTAACTAAAATATATATCCTTACAAAGGCGATTATTGAAAGTTGGCAAATCTGCTTTTCTCCATTTAAACGTATGTAAAACAATCGATCCTAGATGCGGTAGCCTATCGCATAGAATCGATACATTCAATGGCTTAAAATTGAGTATTAACTGAGTTGCCACTTTGCTGACATCGCCACTGTATCCTCGTAAGAATAGGTGCTCATTGAGGTCTTCACAGACCCGGAAATTCAACGTGTTTCAAAATTGTTTATCTGAATGAATGTTACTTTTTGAAATCATTATTTTAAGATTTTACTTCAAAGTTGAGCCAGAACTCCGGTCAAAAGTCTTATCGCATGATGGAGGTAATATTTGGTTCTCAAATTTAAGTATATTTCTATGAATTCCCGAAAATAGATAAAAGTAGCGAATTTTTCGATTCATTGGCTGTTTGTTATAAAACTGTAAACGCAAAGGTGACATTTTTATTCTTTAAAAGACATCAAATTTTGCGCTCATCGTTTTGCATTTTATTGTAAAATTTTTGAGGCTGAAAGAGGGCTTAAAGGGGTTATGTAATGCGCCAAGATGTCCTTCATTTTTTACTACCTAGCTTCGTTGTCCGGTTCTGCTCAAAATTTCTTCGTTCGGTTTTACCTTAAATTGTATTCTCCAACCATGCAAAACGCGCATTTCATATGGATACATTTTCCTGCTTTTTATCATTGAAGACAACCGCCATGGCGAAATACAGATAGAATTTTCATCAGCACACATGTTTCTCTCTGACGTACATTGGCAAAAAACGGTTTTATTTCTCAAAACTGTAGACCGAGCCTTGCGCGACATTTGCGTCACGGATTTTTTAATGCCCTTGAATAAAATTTCGAGGAAAAATAATGGAATTTTTTTCTAGAAAATGTAAGGCCTCCAAGGTTGATTGACACGACATGGCAGGCAGACAGACAGGCTCTTTGCGTCGTCATAAAAAGCTTTTGCGGTGTTTTTGACGCACATAAAATAATATATTGTAAGTCTACCTCGAGATAACTCGAGCTCTGTGACTCTGCGTGCTTGCATTTGAAACTTACAAAAAGAGGAAAAAGGAGATTGTATTTTTCGACAAACTTTCTGCACATATTCAAGGGGAACTCTATGAAACTGAAACTTATAGGTAATGCACGGTTAATATGATGGAAAATTTTAGAAGTGTTAAACTTAACATATTCATTAATCATACTTAGGAAAACTTGAATTGAATTATTTAAATTGTCCTCTATTTTTAATGCCCTATTTTTAATAGTGTCCCACCTCCCAGAATTTCTCACGTCCCCCAACACAAAATACAGGTGCGATTTCCCCCGCAAGGCATCCCGGCAGATTTTATTTTCATTCCAAAGCATTTTGCATCAAGAAGAGCTCAAAATAAATCCTGGGGCGTTAAAATGTAAACAAAATTTCAGAGGCCTCTAATCTTTTTCAGAAGCGCGAGAGTCCTTCCAGACCCCCTCCAGAGGGTGTCCTTCTATCATAGGCCGATCGGGACACTTTGAACGAAGGATGGAATGGGGGGACTGGTGGGTTCCCCCAGAAAATTTTCGAAATTTTAAGGCATCTATTATCCATTTTAAGTCAATTTCGTCATGAATAAACCAATCATAAGCATCCTTCCTTCTTCTTTCTCCGTTTCTTCCTTCTTTCTCTCCTTCCTTTTTCTTACACGCTCCCTACGCTTTCCCCCGGATTCGTCTATGCCTTCTGTGTATCCTACCCCAAAATACCTTGTTCTGCCTTTAGACGTTGTAGATATTTCCATAAAAGTTTCCAGCTTCAAACGCATTTTCCTTGGAATCACAAAAATTTCATTTTACTCTTTCAACCGTGATGCCTTATATTTACCTTCCGTGAAAATTTTCGTTCATCAAATTCCGAATTACACACTTCCTCCTTCTGATTCCCGGTCACTTGGGCGCCCAAAGAGACCTCCGAGGGCATCTGCTCGTCAATGACCAAACTACCGCTGTGGCCTGCTGACGTCATCCCCTCAATAACGATGATCGCCGCCGGCTCGAGATCCATTCCCCGGGCTGACGTCACTCCTTGCACCGATGACGTCACCTCGTTGTATGCTGAGCTCGCCGATGACAGCGGCTCCACCGTCTTGATCTCGTCCTCCACCTGGATGTCCGTGTCCAGCGTGTTGCAGGAGGTATCCGACGTCTCGCAGGCGTCGGATACCCCCGGAACAGACATTTCCAGCGTCAGGTTTGACGAGGTTTTGAGGGTTTTCAGGTTGCCTGGAATTGGAGGTCTAATACTAAAAATGATGGCTAAAGAGTAAGTTTTAAGGAGGTCAAACATTTATGGATGACAGTATTGGTCGAAAAATATGGAGCGTTAGAATTTTTAAAAAAGTGCATCGAAATTTCGGAGACTTCTCTTTAATAATACCCTGTTCCCATGTTAAAAATAAATCGAAAATGTAGACCCTTAGATCGAGTTAAATTAGACTTTGGCTAAGATGTAACCAAGTGCGTTTATAAATTAAGTGAAACTTTATTCATTTTGACATGAGGCCTGTTTCTACATGAATTCTTATATATCTCAGGGCTCAAGTCGGAATTGATATGGTTCTTGTTGAGTCAAATAGTCTTATTGAATGTAGTTTGGATTGAAGTAGATTCGAACGCATGGAAGTATAGTCAAATTCGACTTGACGATCTCATCTTCATATGATTTGTAAATGTCAAAAGTTTAGAGCGTTTTTCAAAATTCTCAAAGTTCTAACAATACGCATAGTACACGTTGCAACGAGTAGACATAATCTGAAATGATGTTGCTCAAATTGGTATAGCTTTCACCATTTTTGGTCGCAAGGCGATAATAATGTGTGTGAAAAAAATTGATCAAGCAGCACGTAAATTAGGTGCATTTTTATCTTGATAGAAATGAGCAGCTTTGTAATGATGAGACCCAAGAACCCTTTTGGCGTGGTGGTATCCTCACAAAAAAAAAACAAAAAACAAAAAACAAAAAACAAAAAAAAAAAAACATCGCCTAAACATGCTTACACGAACTAATCGCTCTCCTATGTGCATGTGTCATGTCGCAGGCAATCAGCAATCGCCGGCAATTTGCAAGCAGTTCACCCGTTGTTCCGATGACTCGCAATTATGCGCATCGACTTATTGCAATTTCTAAGGATTATTGTCTTTAAAAGCATCAGCTCGCCTCGGAGCGCCTTCATTTTTGTGATACTCTACGCTTTGTCACGAAGTTAGTTTAGTTCCCTGTCCGATTTCAACCCAATTGATGTCACGGAGTTCACTGCATGCTCATCTGAGAGTTCCTATTCCTACTATGTTTGTACGGTGGGAAAAGTGCTTGTTCACATTTCAGGCAACATAATCAGCACTCTAATCTTATTATTTTGTTTCTGATTTTCATGCTTTCCTACATTTATTTACCACTGGCTTGCAAACTGCCGGCGATTGCTGATTGCCTGTGACATATGCACAATGGAAAAAAAAACACATTGTATCTAGAGTCCAGACTCTTAAAAACATCGACAAGAAAAAGTACTCTTGATTCAATCAGAATTTAGCTTAAATCAAGAGTCAAGCCTCTTAATTTAAGCGGATTTCGTTTTGATTCAAGCAAAAATCCGATTGAATCAAGAGTACTTTTTCTTGTCAATGTTTTCAAGAGTCTGGACTCTAGATCCAATGTGTTTTTTTCCAGTGCATTTAAGTTAAAATGGACAAGTTCTAACCCAATCTAGCGCTCCCTGAGAAACCGGTTCGAACCTGGTATGTCCTCGGGTATCCTGATGGTGCTATATTCCTCCGCGGGGATGTTCCTGAGAATAGCAGGGACGGGAGGCATATCCACGTCGGTATCTTCGTGGATGGAGGTGACGTTCGTGGTGGTGGGGGCGTAGGTGTTGACGTGCCGAAACCGGTTCGGGGTGAAGACGTCACGGAGGACGTCGTTGCTCTCATCCCGGGTGAAAGTCAACCGGAAAAAGCGCCCAGCACCTTCGCCGTTAAACAGGAGATGGTTCGTTGGCTGGGGTGGAGACACAGGGCATCGATCCTCGTTGACGTCTTCCTGTGGTCAAAAGGAGGGTTCAACAGGTTGGGTAAGAAAGTCATAGAATCATTTTTGATAAAACAAACTTATACGGGGTGTCTCAACTTTAGACGCGAATTTTTTCAGAATAGATTTTTGGGATGAATGCAAGGCTTCTTCACTGAAGAAAAAAAAAAGGAATCTTAAATTCGCCTTCAAGGAGTATTTTTTCTTAAATCAAGACTTTTCCTGCTTAATATAAACTACTTTTTGCTTAACCCAAGCAATGTTTTTCTTGTATCGAGAAAAAGTCAGCTTAAATCAAGATAAACACATTATTGGTGACAAATTCAAGAATCTTCATGCTTAAGCCAAGCGCCTTTTGTTTCAGTGTTTGATCAACAGGGTGGCCTAGACCTACCCTGCCGTGCTAAGGAAGAACGCTGTATGAACATTCGAGAGTTGCCAAATTTCCATCGATAAAATGTTTATTTTTGAGGAAAATTAAGATTAATTTTCCGAGAAATTATCAAGAAATTTAGGTAAACTTGTGAACAAAAATATCTGAAAAATTGGAAAAGTAATAATAACAAATTTTCCCGAAAATTCGCAATTGACCAACGGAAATTTGGCAGCGCCTGTGAGCTCATACGGCGTATTTCCTTAGCACGGCAGTACCAGACCAGGTCTTTTTCTCCGTTAATTTAGGTCAGACGAAGTCCAGGACTTCGGAGACGAATCGATTCCAAGGATACCGAATCCCATAGTCCCAGAGCCCCCCCCCCCCCCCCCCNGGTCTCCATCGAGGGGCAAAAGGCGGGTCTGTGCACTTCACAAGCCGTGGTTTATATCTAAATTTTAATGTTATTTTATTGGAATCAGACAGTATGGAAAATGTTAACTTAAATCGACACCATGAAACCAGCCCATCCGTGTCCGAAGTACTGCCCCCTTAGGGTGGGGGGCAGTACTCTTTCAAAACATGCAAATTTGCTGAAATGACGCGAGGGCTTGAAGAAAGACGTGTTCACAGGTAATCGACCTCAAGGAATCCGAATTTTTGCCTAAACTTTTCCGCATCTGCAACCCGCACGTCCGTAGAGCTCAAATAGTTGTATTCAGGCGTTGCAAGCGCCAGCGCGAAGTATTGTGCGTCGATCATGAATATCAAGTATAAGACATTGATTTCAATATGACCTTACACATCCTTGGAGAAACTAGTTTCCAGAAAGGGACGATTTTCTCGCGCGACGCGTTCACGGTTTACCAACAAGCGCCAGACTTTAGGGATCACTGAAAAAAATGATTGGTAGAATTTACCATTCCTTCACGCTATATTTCACATACAGCGTCAATTGGACTGCATTTTGCAATTAGGAACTATAAATTCCGGTCCGGTTTAAAAACAACGTATGTGCCATTAGTTTCCCTATGCATATAAGTGTTTTTTCAGATGAGCCAGAATTTATAGCTCCATATTGCAAAATGCAGTCCAATTCAGAGTCAATTCTGCCAGAGGAAAGGTAAACGTTACTATATACTGGTACGAGTAACCATTCCTCTGGCAGAATCGACTTAAATATTGGTAGAATTTACCATTCCTTCACGCTGTGTGAAATACAGCGTGAAGGAATGGTAAATTCTACCAATCTTTTTTTCAGTGTAACTGAAACATATTATTTAATCATTACCTTTGCGAGACGACTTGATCGATCGCTGGAAATCCGTCCCAAAATCTTCTCATTGATCTTAAAATTTCTGAAATGCTTACGCACAATGGGCCTACCCGTGTCAATTTCGTTGACCTCCATCTTCTCGGCGGTAGGGGGTCCTCGCTGCAAACCGTCCCCGGTCTCGTTTTCGGGGTGCTCGCCCGGTTCCTCCGGTCCGGTCGCCGGTTTGTCCGGTCCCTCAGCCAGGAGTGGTAGGTCCGCCGAGGCGGGTTTCCGGGCGCCCCAACCGGTTCGGCCGGTCGCGGAGCCGCCCTCGGACACGAAGTCCACGCCGCTCAGTTTGAAGAAGGAGACGTTGTCCTCTGTGATGGAATCTCGGGGGGCTGAGATCCTTATCATCGGGATAGTTGGGTCGTAATGGGTCTCCCCTCTTTCTCCTGAAATTTGAAATCGGGTAAGGTTAGATTTGTTGCAGTTCGTCGTTTTCCAGGCTAAGAAACGTAACTTCAGAAAACATAAAAATTCCGTACTTTTTCGGTACCTCCATTTGACGAAATTTGAAATTGCAACAAACATGGCACAAAATTCAAAAAAATTCCGGACCTTTTTGCGGAATTTCCGCACTTTTTCAGTACTTCCGGAGCGTCCTTAAAAATTAGTACAATCCGGAAATTCCGGACTTGTAGACACCCTGCAATTAAAAACGCAATACCTAGTGTATTTCCTTCGGAAAATACACTAAAAACCGGAAAACTCAATTCAGCTTTTACAAGAGAAAAGGCTTGCTCATAGTGTTCCAGTTCCGATATTAACCGAACCATCCTGTTATTTGGACTGCATTTTGCAATTAGGAACTATAAATTCCGGTCCGGTTTAAAAACAACGTATGTGCCATTAGTTTCCCTATGCACGTAAGTGTTTTTTCAGATGAGCCAGAATTTATAGCTCCATATTGCAAAATGCAGTCCATTTTGTGTTTCAGTTTAGGGCAGGTCAATTTTGCGTAAAAATGGCCATGAAGCTACTCTAGAATTACCTAAAACGTAATAATTGATGTCTAGAAAAATTGTGTTCTCGATAGTTGTCGCTATAGTCTCTCATCGAAAAAACAAAGAGCAACGTGCCCGGATTCTGGAGCCGAGCGGCATTTTACGGTGATAATTTGTACATTTACAGCGAATACTGCAGCGGTAAACAAAAACCACGCATCGACACGAGGTTTCTGTGCGAGTTGCGTGGTTTAAACATAGCACGATGGAATAGGTCCTGTCATAGGTCGTCACAATGTTTCTCTGCTTGACCTCCTTGACATGTTCAAGAGGGAGAGGCAGGAATAAAATTAGTCGAGGCGTTGTTGCCGAATCGTCCAATTCTTCACAAAGATGTTGTGATAATGTACAAGAAGATAGAGTTCAGGTAGAGAGGAGACGCAGGGGACGCTCAATGTAAGGGTGGCGACGGGGATTTTAGAAGAAATGATAGTGTGCTAACTCCCTGAAGGGCTTTGGGAGGATAGGGGACTTTGGCGGCTAGGTGTCGCAGAGTGCCGGAGAGCGCTATAAAAGCGATTTTTTATATAAGTAGATAGATTTCAAAATCGAGCATCACAATGCATCGTCTCTGATAGATATTACCAGAGGATCTCCTGATGGCCGCTATAGATGGTCCAACCCCCTATTTGCAATATTTTCTATAATTTTCTCCTCTACTTCCTCAAGGATGATTTTTCCAATTATAACTGAGCAGCGTTGCTCCTGTTTATCAGTAACATTTTTAAAACGAGACGAACACTACGAAGATTTTTAAAAGTGAATCGAACACATAAACCATTTTCTAAAAGAGTGCATTTAGCAATGTAAAATTTTCCTAAATAATGCATTTCCATAAAGAATAATTGCTAAGTACTTAAATATTCAAATTTTTAATGCTATGTCCTTTATATCATAAAGATATGTTGCGGAAAACATGGGACTTGTTCGAAAATCTTTATCAACAAACGACGATTGAAAACATCGTGTATAAAACAGTGAAATATAGGATTGCAATCCGAACGCCAATAAAGCTCCTTCAATTATGTGGAACGCAAAGTTCTCTGCAGGCAGACATCCAGCATTGCGATGGCATCCAGGCTTTTTTTCAAGTGAGTTGATATTGTCACTGGGTGTCAATTTACGGTGGTTTTGAAACTGGTCCGTAAATGTGAATTAATGAATTTTTCTGTGGAAATACTTTCTTTCAGTAGAAGTCAGATGAATCTTTTCGTACAACAATGAATTGCCTTTGTTACTACATAAATAAGCTGTACGTTTTGAGTAGAGTGCTTTGTAGAGGCAGATTTTCATTCGTAGCATAAGTCATGATTAAATATTTTTAAGGCGAAAGTAATGACTGTAGACTCTCGTCACTTTAAAATCAAAATAAAAAGTCTTGCCTTTACAAACAGGTTTTGTTGTATTTTTATACACAAACTTTCAGCGACTATAGTTCGTATCTTCATAAACTTTTCCTTTCAAAACGCTTTAAAAGCATGCAGAACTTGGCACATTAAGTAAAGAATGACTTGATTTGCCGTTAAGAAATTATTTTCCTAAAATTCGAGTAAAATTGCTCAAGCAGGTTTCTGCTTGATAAAAGTGATTTTCCTCATGGTATGAGCTTTCCTCCTCAATTTAAAAGGCATTTCTGGGAGGAAAATTCAAGAAAATTCTGTGTAAACCCTGTCACTTATTCCCAGCTTAGTCTTGAAAAGTTTTCTAGGCATTTGAAAAAATGCCTAGGAAACAATAATATGAAAATAATCCAATTTTGTAGGAGAATATTTTTGTGCAATCTCTGTCTAAGATTTTGCCGAATTTTGAGTGCGATTAGAGGGAAAATCAGCGAATTTTTGGCGAGATATTTTCAACAGTTTTCTAATAACAATTTAATATGAGAATGAGAATATTACAACGGTGAAATGTAGTTATATTTAAGTACATCAATATGGAGAGGGTACGGACATGTCGGCACTTTTAGAGGCTAGGTCATTAAGTTCTCAGGGCCTGAAAGGACAGCCAACCGATGAACTCAAATTGTCCATAGTAAGGCACGCATTTGACTTAGTTTTTGCATAAAATTATTCTTTTTCTGGAAAGACGCTCATTAAGGTTTTAAAGGAATTAATCTCTTAGCTATTTAGCTTTGATTTCGGAATATTAAGATCGCTAGCGGCATTTTTCTAGTGTTTTTCGATTAAAAATGTTGGCTGCCTTTTTGGGCCCAAAGAGCTCCGTACACATCGTATTCGATAGTGATCGATCTATCGTTCGGTTCAAAACAACAGAACATAGAACCAAACAAAAATTTTAGGATTTGAGTGGAAGAAACTGAAAATGAGAACATTTCTGACAATTTCACTTTTCATTGCCATTTAAATACTTATAAGAATCAATAACCTATCACAAGAAGCCCGTTCCCTCAGATTACTCATTTGACTTTTGAGGCTATGTTTACATGTTGAACCGATCGATATCGATACAATCTCACCTGCCTGATGTATCGAATACGATCCAGTCCTCTCCCCAAATAGATACTCTAGTTATGTTCTTTTATCTGCAATGGGAAACGACGATTTGACCAATGGGCTGCGACACACATAATCAAGAATGAGTTAAAGCACCAAGGTCATTAATTTTTTATTACGATCGGTACTTTTTATTACGGTATTATCATAAAAATATTCCATCATTTTCAATCAAAACGAGCCATTACCTGGTGAATCGGGCGCTGGCACCTCGGAAATCTGGACGTCGAGTCCGGCGCCGTAATCCACCTCTGCGCTGGACATCGTCGCTCACCACGAATTATCGAAACGAGACGTGGAAATTACGAGCGGGGCTCCCGGAGATTACGGGTTAAGTTCTCGGAGATTACGGGTTATGATACGCGACGAGGGGAGAATATAACCTCACTTTCACTGGAGGCCTCGCTCGATCACCGATGGCATTAGAAAGGCCCCGATGGTGGAGCCGAATTTTGACATGCTCGAGCCCGGGTTCCGTGGAGTGAATGATTTTGATTCTGCTATGTTATATTTTACTGAAAATTTTAATGATGGCTCGGTGGCGAGCGAATTTTGGCCGTCAGCTGAGACCGCGCGGTCCGGCCCGTTCGGCGGCAAATTTTGAATGGCAGAGGTGCCAAATTTAAAAAATAATGAAAGCTTTCCTAGAATATTGTGTCAGAGTATCTATATAGAGAGAAAAATAGAGAGAAATGGACGTGTCGGTAGTTTTGAGGAAAGGTCATGAAGCTTTGAGGGCCCAAAAGGCAGCCAAACTATGAATTCATACTATCCAGAGTGATTTATTATTAAAATTGTTACGAACAGTCGTTCTTAAATCATGTATTCGACTTATTTTTGGCATTAATTCATGCGTTTATGCGGAAGATAGTGCATTCATAAGCATCGTTAGCCATCTTGGTTTGATATTGGAATCTGAAGATTAGCAGGGCCGGATTAAGGGGGCGGCCCATGGCGGCAAATACAGGGGGCGGCAAATTTTGCAATTGTTTTATATGTAGGTATAAAAAAATCGGATTCAGAAATAAAATTATCAATGAGAAAAGGGAAAGAAATCTCTCTTTCCTGAGAGTATAGTAATTTCTAATTTTGTCGTTTTTCGGTGATAAAAGAGACAGCATCTTTAATTAGTCGAGTTAAAAAGAGGAACTAAACACGCAATTTGGCCTGGAGCTCAACGCAGGGAGGAATGATGACGAGGACTTGAGATGAAAAAGGCAAGCCCTCCGCGCGGCGATCGGCATGTAACACATATTAGCGCCTACAAGACTGCATGAATACTTCACCCATTGCGCCAAACACAGTGCGGTCAGGAGCACGCGGTTGGCGTGAAACATACAGCGCCTACAAGACCGCAGGAATACTTTACGCATTGCGCCAATCACAGTGCGTGCAGCAGCGGTCGGCCCGAAACGCATAGCGCATGTAAGACTGTAGGAATACTTCACGCATTACGCCAGACACAGTGCGGTCAGCGCGGCGCGGCGGCGGAAGTTGAAATTACTAAACTACATTTGTGATTGTTCTTTCATAATTTTTGGTTCATTTCTTATGAATGGAGGACCTTGTCCACTTAGAGATAGGTTTACGGAACTTAACTTTTGCGCAAAGTTCCGTGAAATTTTGCTAGTAGTGTTGACAGAGCTTTCGCAAAAAATGTATCCAACACGAGTATGTAAACGCGTTTTATACACCCCTCCCCTTCCGGCACGTTCACTTGATGGTTTTTATTGATGTTTCAAAACGAATGAGAAGGGGGCGGCATATGGGCGACAAGTAGGTAAATACGGCCCTGAAGATTGGAAGTGACATTTTTTGTCTTAGAGGGTTTGCTGCCCTGTTTGGCCCTTAATGCTTCGAATTTCGACATGTCCGTACTAAATGTCATTTCCTGACCTATGTAAGAGCTATAGATCAGTGGTGGCCCATTAAAAAACGTACTCCACATGTAACGCACTAAAGGAGAAACAAGGTAATAACCTTCAGCCGTTTCCAACTTTCCTTTAATAAATTACGGATCTATTGAGAAAGTTATGAATATTTTTCTTTCCAAACTTTTCAAACACTTCGGCTTGCAATTTAATTTAAAATATCGAAGCATTTAAAGGGAAAATATGCATAACTTTCATCCAATATTATTTTTATGAGGAAAAACTTGTCAAAATTGGAATGTTCATATAGGTCGTTCAATAGGCAGGCAGGGGGCAGAGCTATAACCAATTGCCAATCTCGTAATAACGTCATAGTAACATGGGCTCCTATGATAGTTTTCATAATTTAGAATTCATCGGTAGAATTCTCTTTGTTGGCGGAGCTTAGGATCAGCCTATACCATATTGGCCTATCAGCCGCTATTGGCGGAATAATGGGAAAGGGTTAGAGGGCATAGTCTAAGTGATACATGGTATTGTAGCTTTCAATCGTGATTCAAACTTCCACCATTAACCCTGATACTTCTTTATCATTTCCTTAGACTCCTCCAAATTAATTTGGAATTGCCCCACGAGTGGAGTCAAAATGGTGTCACTCTGCTTGAGGATGTCAAACACAGGTCGCAGCTTGATCAACTCGTCTTTCGGCATTTTTTTCATTTGAGTTGATAAAGTTTCGTACGTCGCAGCCAGGTTATTCATTTGATTGCTGAAGTCGGAAAATTTCTCCTCTCGCAAGAAATCAGTTCCCTGTAACACCAATGATTTGGCTTTATCCTACTAAATAGAGAAAAATTGCAAAAAAATGTGCAAAAGATAAGAAAAACTTGACGCTTATTAATAACAAATATAAAATAATTATTATAACTAATACACTGGAAAAAAAACACATAGGATCTAGAGTCCAGACTCTTGAAAACATTGACAAGAAAAAACACTCTTGATTCAATCGGATTTTTGCTTGAATCAAAACGAAATCCGCTTAAATTAAGAGGCTTGGTTCTTGATTTAAGCTCGATTCTGATTGAATCAAAAGTACTTTTTCTTGTCGATATTTTTAAGAGTCTGGACTCTAGATCCAATGTGTTTTTTTCCCAGTGTAGAGTTAGTATAAGCATGAGGGATATAAGACTGAAAATGAAAAAACGTACGTGTTTCCCTCTTTTTAATCACAATTTGACCATGGGTTTTCACCATTTTCTTAAATAATGATAACGGAATTTATTTAAAATCAAAGATCGTATACATACGCGATGATGCCACCCTTGAGTCCATCTTGTTTTACTTCCGCACTTGTGTGGCATTTTCATGCTTTTTCATCTTATACATTTTCAAATCGAATATTGGACTAGAAAGCAGGATCCTCTGGTTTAGTTTTTAAATTTTAGACAATGATTTTTTAGTATATCTTTGCTTTGCATAATAATTCATATTTTTGCATGCTCAGTAAGTGCATCTTTGAAGTACCTACTAAAATCATGAAAAATAATTCTTTTCGTCTTGGCACAGAACTGGAGGCCGATACATTATTTTCTATAGGTGCCCCAAAAATCACAAAATGTCTTACAGCGAAAATAGTGAGATACTTGTTGCGCATCTATTAAAAACTATACGTGCATTTTTCTATTATTTATTGTTTTGTCATATTATTGTATTTCTTTATTTATTCTTACCATTATAGTTTGTCCATTGTCTAGTGTTGGAGAAGCAATGCTATCTCACTTTGGGTTCATTATACTTAATTTATTTGAAAGGCAAAATCGTATTCCTCTCACCTTGTGTGCATCTCTTTGGATATTTTTGCTGAAATTGAAAAAGATCCTTCCAGCATCAAAAAAGTGTCGTATGTTCACAAGTGCTTCATCCGCCTGTCGTACGAGTTCTAGGCATTTGAACGTTTCATTACTTTTCCGTTCGGTGCCCTCTTCTGCTGCTTCCTTTATTGCGATTTTACGATTGGTTTCTACGGCTGTAAGTGCATCGAGTAATTCGTCAAAGCTTTTGCTCGGTGGATGGTTGTGGTGGTGGTGGTTGGTGTGGTGGTGTGTTGTGGTTGGCTAAAAAAAATAGGTTTTGGCGTATTAGGTTCTAATGTGTAAAAATTCACATAACTCGCTTCTTAAAACTAAAAATGCTCTAAATTTACAACGGAGAGTTCTTCCTTACAACCCTCCAAGAATGTTATTGGTTGTTTTTTTTTTTTTTTTTTAACAATGGACCACTAGACAAGGTATGAATTTCAGCATTCTGATTCATGTTTCTTAACTAAAATTTCACGGAGAACAGGATGCGCAAAACGAAAATTACCGCCCGCCCAACACGAAATATTGCAGCAATATTGCAGCAATATTGTCAATATTGAAACAATATTGTTATGTAAATATTTCCTTAAATGCACTGCAGAAATATGTTGACAATATTGCTAAAATATTTCATGACAATATTGTAACAATATATTTATAAAAATGTTTTAAATATATTTACAAAATATATTTATGTAATTACTTTTAAAACAGTTTGTAAAATATATTTACAAAATATTTTAAAATTATTTTAGAAATATTAGTTTAAAAATATTTGTTTAATATTATGTTAAAAATATTTTATAAATATTTTTGTAATATTTAAAAATTAATTGCTAAAATGGCAAAAAATGGTTTGCGATTTCTGCAATTTGCTTTTTTTGCTAAAATGCCCACCCTCGTGGCGAGAACGACAAAACAATTTTCAAAAGTGGTAATTTTATTGTGCGAAAATGGCAAACTATACTTTTGCGAAATTAACATTGCTAGTTTATGCTATTATGGCTAAAATTTTTGCTAGATTTTCAAAATGATTGCCAAATTAGCGTAGGGTTTTGCTCTGTTTACCAATTATTTTGCGGAACTTACTAAAATCAATCGCTAGAAAAAAGAAAGGGGGGGGGGAGAAAAGACAAAAAGAAGGGGAAAAAATAAATAACATAACATAAATACATCGACATAAATTCAAACTAGGAAAAAGCTCAAATAATTAAAACTGGAAAAAGACGCAATTATAAAAAACAGTAATTTGGTAAAGAAAAAAATGAGAGAGAGTTAAAAAAAACGAAAATTTGTAATACATGAATAGGAATATGTTGAGTACAATTAATAAAGAATTTGAAACACAAATTACAGGATGAAATAAAAAATAATAAATAAATAATAAATTCTGGTAAAATATTATAAGAATCCGTCAATAAACAAACATATTATGGACTCAGAGGCCTGCGATAGTTAAGAGATTGAATTTACGGGCCCATCTACATCAAGCCTGGCTGGTCTGGTGGTAAAGTACTGGACTTCGGATATCAACTCCACCCCGAGGCGTGGGTTCTAATCCCGACTAGGACGGCGCGGATTTTAAGGTCAGTAACAACTCTACGATCCACAACCTGGACGCATGTGTACATTAGAAAGAAAATTAGTACCAAAAACGTCTCCTAGAGTGCGCGCACACGGATATGGAATATGATGATAACCTCATCGCAAGTAAATATTTTTAAAATATATTATCAATATTACCTTGACAATATTGCTGCAATATTGTCAGGGGGGCGGACAACAAACTATTGCAGCAATATTATTTCGATATTGTTAAAATATTGTTAAAATGTTTTTGACAATATTTCAGCAATATTTTTAAAATATTTCCGTGTTGGGCGGGCGAAATCAACTCCTTACGAAGATATGTAACGATTCTTGATGCGTAAATTCAAACCACCCGCTCATGAAAACTCAATGCTCTACGTGAGTCACATCGCGCGCTAAACGTTATCATGACAGTATCTGCAATTTAAAAATCTCGCAACCTCAATTTTAACGCTTTGGCTCAGCTGTAGCAAATTACTTATAGTTTGAACAACACATGGTGGAAAATGAACATTGCTCGATTGAGAAGCTTTCTGAAACCGTTGTAGTGAGCGATTTGACTCACGTAGAGCTTTGAGTTTCTTGAGAGCGGGCAGTTCAAATTCCTCGTAACCAATGTGAAATAAAAACGATAATATCTTCGTTAGGAATTAGTTTCAGTAATTTTCGTTGCGCGAATCGTGTTTTACGTGAAATTCTGGTTAAGAAACATGTATCAGATTGCTTAAATTTGTACCTTGTCTAGTGGTCCATTCTTGTTACACTCAAAATCATCAAAAAGAAAAGGGCTTGGGGCCCAAACATAATCTTTTTTCAATCTTTGAGTACCGACTTTCAACTGCCTCAAATAATGATACAAAGCTATACAAAATTATCGAACAGTGCCGTGGCGTGATTTGCGATATATCTATTGATCGACCATTTAAACATATGGAAAAGCATCGATAAACAGGGTGTTCGCAGCGAACACCTTAATAATCGATTATTTACCACAGCTTCAAATGGGAAAATATCTATACATCGCAAAGCACGCCACGCCACTGTTATTGAATTATTATTTCACGATTTATTTTTTATATTATTTTAGGTTACCGCAAAAGTCTTCTATGTACACTCACCACCGAGGCATCGATGGACGTAAAAATCAACGCAACAGAGGAAGTCAAAGCTGAAATCATACTTTAGTACACGTTTAAACGTGTAAAAAGCAATTATATTGAAATGTGAGCTGATTCATGTTTTCAGTCTGCAATCACATATCTCGTTTGCGGTGTCTGAAAGTCTCCGCCTCTATGTTATTTTTTTAAAGAAGAACAAATCGACATCATTCTTTGAAGTTTTTGCAGAATTTTCTTCGCACAGAGAAGAAAAATCACGGCAGTTTAAAAGAATTACCGTTGAGTAGTTTTCCGTTCAAAAAGTAAAGTATGACAGAAAATCTGAGAAAGTCGAGTTAAGTGATTTGCCGACTTACACCGTCGATATAACCAAATCGAAACTTTGCTAAGTAATGCTCCTATTTTCCAAAAACCCCCGCAATGCTGAAGCATTCGTCTCCATAACACAAATGCTACGTTGAATGCCACTCACAGCTCACATGTATTGACTACTACTTAAGTACGTCCCCACTTATTTATGTGTTCATTTATTTATTTTTTTACCACACAGGTCATGATTACTCACGCTTACTGAGGCTTCGGTAGATGTAAGAAATATCAAAGCAAAGCATATCAAAGCTGAAATCATGTTTTTAGTGCACGCTTAAATGTAAGGAGCTATTAAACTGAAACGTGAATACAGTTCGATAGAGACAATTAGATAAGCTCAGGCATTAAAACAAAACAAACTGAGCTGTCACATCGGTAATATAGTCACTGAAATTATTTTATTTGATCCGTTTCTTTCGGCTACTTTGCAGAGTTGACAACCTGACAAACTGTTACTTATTTATCTATCGATGTATCGTACATATTTCGCGGGGGCTTTGGGGAGATTTGGCCTCTCCCAGGAATAGTAAGGGCAGGGACGAGTTCTATAGGACGCCGTTCTGTTGTGAGCGGGTGATTGCAGCGCATTCTCGCGTAGGATCCTAGTCAACTCAGAGGATCCTTCCCCCCGATCCTCGACTCATCCATCGCCCGCTCCAAAAGTGAGGTTAAGCCGGAGATTGAAAAATAACACATAAGGCGGCTGAATTCTTAAAAAATAAGTATATTTTTGGCGTTCTTCGACCCCTTTCGACAAGGAAGGGCCCGCCGCATGTAACTACACGATGAAAAATTCGATTTTTTGCAGTTATACGCGATCCTACGGATTTTAATGAAGTCCAACAACTGATAACAGCAGTGAGTTGCGAGGATCCTACGCGGGAATGCAGCACTAGTACCTGCTCACGAATTTTTACATTGACTCTTACGGGAGTCCAGGGTCCTATAGAACTGGTCCCTGGTAAGGGACTTTGTTGAGTAAGCGCATGGCACATCTTCCATCTTGGCTATTGGAATTGGATCAATTTTTTGGCGAGAACAGCCCAAATTGCTCAGAATTCCTAAAGTTTCGTCCTTTTCTGTATGTGTGATTGTTTGTAAGTTAGTNGGGGGGGGGGGGGGGGGTAGAATTTGCAAGGAACCTATGATCATGGACTACGGATAGTGCTGAATGGACCGAGAACCCAGCTTGGGTAGCGTCGCTCGCTACAATGTCTCCAGCTCTCGGGAGGATCACAAGCTCATAAACTCCCATCGACGGGAATTTCCGGACCCTGCGCCTGCCCCTGCACGCGAAGTCACGTTCGTTTTTCAATAGCAGCGCTCTCTCTCGTGACCTTTGCGCGGCTCCAAGGAACAATGTCCCGACATTGGGTGACTTTACACCCGAGTTGCAAAGTCATACGAAAAATAAAATTTTCTGTGGGAGCATTTTGGGAGCTGTGCATAAACGACGTCTGGTTTTTTCTTCCTACATTTTTAACGTGTCTTTTTCCCCTCCGCCCGATCGTTGTAAAGATGGATCCAGACAATTTAAAAAGTAGGGGTATCTGGGGGCCTCTTCAAGAAAATTTTCGAAATTTTAAAGCATCTAATATGCAGTTTGAGTCACTTTCGTCGTGTAAAATTACCAGGAATAAGGGTCCTTTCTTCTTCTTTCCCAGTCCTTCCGTCTCTATGTTTTACCTTTTTCTTCTTCCTTTGCTCAGGCGAATGGGGAGGCCCACACCCCCTTCGCACCCCCATGGATCTGCCTATGAGAGCCCTAAAAGGCCGCCTCGCCTCCCCATCCTAAGCGAGCACTTTAAAACAGCATAATTATTAAAGTCCGATTTTTACAAATCTACGATGAAATTTAATACTATGGCTTTAAAAGTACATCCTTGCGAGGGGTTAAAATGATTTGACACGACAAAAAAATGCAAAACCTGGATGGAAAATTCTATGATTTTAACAAACTCAAAGATATACAAACTTACCGTGATATAGCAAACATTTGCATTATTTTTTCGTCTTAATTTATTTCTTTGTGATGCAAATAATTTTAATACTTCGCAAGAATCTACGTCCAAAGTTTTACTGTTGATTTTACTGGAGGTTATCATAAAAATTGAGTTGCCCTTATTCTTGGGATGCTGTTTTAAAGGATTTCTCGTTCAGAATGTTAACCATTCAAAGTCTGCATAAGGAAAGGATCAGATTTAGAAGAACTATGAATACAGTTTAGGTCTCAAACCTTTGAAAACCGGAAAACTTATTTTGACGATCCATCAGGCGACGCTGCACTGGATGGTGCAATCGGCCGATAATGGTGGCGCCTGCGTGGACTTTTACTTTCCTCGGCGCTTGAAAAAATGCCTCGCGCATGCGCGCTGGCTTCCTCCTTAATTACTGAACTGAGCTCGCAGAAATAATGGGGTGGTTTTTTTAGCCACGATTAACGGCCGTGCTTTAGACCCCTCTCGACGGGGGTTCTCAGCGTTCCCAGCCTTTGCGCTTCTGCCCGTCCTCCAGGCAGATTCTTGACCGTCAATTATTATAGTGGCGATTATCACTAGATTTGGTGAAAAAAATCGAGTGCTTGGAACTTTTTGCCGAGTGTTTCGCAGTTTAATCGAAAATTGGTTCTTTCGCAGTTTTATCGAAATTCGAAATTTTTATCGAAATTATTATCTTAAATTATATATCTAAATATTATTTTAAATTACTATCGAAATTTCCCACGCACGGAGTTTTTTTCTCCGTGATAAAAATGACCCTGTTGGTTTTCTCGTAAAATTTTCCCCAAGAATCACCCCTCAAAATTTAAAATTTGATTAAATAAACATCTAAATTTGCAGTTTTATAATGGAAAAATCCATGTTTGACCTCTCTCATTGATTCGATCCAATGTGCGCGGCGTTCATCCTTAGCACGGCATTAGAGGTAATGTTCTACCGTGCTAAGGAAGAACGCCATATGAACATTCGAGAGTTGCCAAATTTCCTTCGATATAATGTTTATTTTTGAGGAAAGTTATGGATGTTCTTCCTTGAAAGTTTTAGGAACTTTAGGTGAAATGGAGAATTTGCAGGCAAAATTTTAATTGCCTCATCTGGAAGTGCTTAAAGAGATGATTTTGCGGTATTTTTTATACTTTTTTCAGCTATGAAAAATGGTATAAAAATAGATTTAAAAGTAAGTAAATGCGGCGCCTAGTGACGTCATATGGCGGCATTTTCCACATAAACGCATGTATTTTAGCAGAATAGATCATTATATCATATCTCCTCCAATAATTGTTCAATTTATGAACCAAGGGTATCCTCGTGTTCAGCTCACTTGGTAGCATCCATTCAAGCATGGAATTTATCAAATTTCAGACCCTTGCAAATTCTATATTGCAAACAAAATTATCCGAAAAATCGGGAGGAAAATATTCATAAGTTTACCAGGAAATTCTTGTTTTATCGGAGGAAATTTGGCAACGCCTGAAGGCTCATACGGCGTTTTTCCTTACTTGCGGCCCCGTCATCAACTTTAAGAATCCCTGCGACGAAGCGCGAGCCCATGCGCGGATATGAACGCGTATCTATGGAAAGTGAAAAGACTTATGAATGAACCTGCGTCGACCGCTGACGTTTATTCGAGGCAGAAACACTCTCCCTCTCTTTCCATTATTGTTCCTCGTTCCTCGCCATCGACTCGCCTCTGGCCGGCCCCCCAATCATTTCTGATCCCGGCTTTGCTCATGCCCGAGCCCCCGGGTGCCCCCTCATTATTGTCCCATTCACGGAACAGCAAACGATAGACGTTAGTGTGGTCATTTTCACTGGACTTTTTCGTTGTAGAGAACTTTAGTGTGGTCATTTTCACTGAACTTTTTCGTTGTAGAGACCCGCGTATCTCTATAAATCAAAGCCCAACATTTTTGCCATGTTTTCCCGCGCTTTTTACATGGGCGTTTGAAGTGCCGCCTGCTGAATCATCGATCAGATTTTTTTTTTTGTGTTTTTATTTTGTGATCAGTCTCGCGTCTTTCTACCTAACCAGTGCCTAAAAGTATTAATTTTTTATTTGTGTCAATCAGATTTTTAAATAGTCTGTTAAAACGTGATGTAAGTGTAAATTATTGTATGTGAATATCGAGTGTGTGTTCTAAGGTTCGGAAAGCAGCGAACTGACTAATCGGCTATATTATCTGATTATACATACATAAAATAGGTATTATTTCAAAATATTGTCATTTCAATGCTCACGTAGTCGAACAGAGGAAGTTCAATTTGTTTTATTTGTTTAAGTTTTCACTCTTTGTGCAAAATTACTTTTTTGACTCATAATTAACAAAAAAAACTCAAATTTATAGGGCGACTTTCTTAATCGCACGCTCACAGCAAAATGCAACTTTCAAAATTTCAATAACCAGTGAACTGTAACTTTACATTCATCCCTTTATTTTTTTATTCGCTAATTTGGAATGCCTATTCAATTTGAAAGTGATCTGATTACTTAGCCTATTTTATCTAAACCCAAGTTCTTACAATTTCGATAGTCCTTAAAAAAAATTGCGATTCTTCTTCAGAAATTTTAAAAATTGAATCAACAACAAAAACATGAAAAATGGAATCAAGTGACCAAAATAAAATGACGTGAATAAAAGTATTGCGCTCTTCAATAGCGCGCATCGCGCCTTTTCACGAAGCAAAGGCACTCCGAAGATCGGCCAATGTTGGCAGGATTGCAGCAAGGTTCACCCGGCGATGGTACATCGATGAGGGAAAGGCGTGGGCAACGCTATGATGAGGAGCTTCTCAGTTTGGAATAGTTCAGTGATTCGTCCCAAAAACCAGAAAAGGAATGTTTTCTTCTCGCTGATTTTAGTCCTCGCTTTTTGTGCTACGGCTCCAGGCTTGAAATTATCGACTGTAGGTGAGTAAGGGCTGGAATACATTTATCATCACTATATAAACTCTTTAATCATTTAAATCTTCATTACACTGGAAAAAAACACATTGGATATAGAGCCCAGAGTCTTGAAAACATTGACAAGAAAAAATACTCTTGATTCAATCAGATTTTTGATTAAATCAAAAGGAAATCCGCTCAAATTAAGAGGTTTGGTTCTTTATTTAAGCAAAAATCCGATTGAAAAGAGAGTATTTTTTCTTGTCGATGTTTTAAGAGTCTGGACTCTAGATCCAATGTGTTTTTTTTTTTTCCAGTGTAGGTCACAGTTCATTTTATACTTGCTCGTGTTCTACTCGACCGATTTTTATGCATTTGCGCCTATCGACAGGTGATAGTTTCAAGATGAACCCGTTCAATTTAGAGTTTGGAAATATAACCCAGGTTTTCTTGCATTAAGTTAGACATGTGTGAATTTTCCTCTTTAAACAATTTTCACGTCACGCTTAGTCTCATAGAGTTATCGGGCCAATTTTCATAATGTTTGGGGCTATCGATAAGAGACAGTCTCTACTTGAACCGGCTCTGTTTAGATTAACTCAGAGGCGCTATTCGTAAGAATTTGCTCCTCTCCTACTTTTTTAACTCTGCGTTAAAGTCTCCAAGAAAACTGACAAATTCCTGTCGAATAAGGGCTGCGTTCATGAGCGCTTATGTCCTATGGAGGATGGGCCACTTAGGGCCACCAGGGAAAGTCCTCCTGATGTACTTTTGATTGTGCAGGGGAAAATTGACTCTCATTTGCATTCTGCATTTCCCCGGAAAATTGAATTTTAATGGAAAGAGTCTGTTTTTTAAGGAATATCCCGCTTTCTTAGCATATTTGTGGAAGAACGAAAAAATCAAAATCATATTCTGGCAACGGTATATATTATTTGTAAGATTTTGCTCCTCTCCTACGTTTCTAACTCTGCGTTAAAGTCTCCAAGAAAACTGAAAAATTCTTGTCGAATAAGGGGGGGCTGCGTTAATTATAAAGTATATCACGTTATGATTTTCTAAATTTATAACCTTGATGAAAACTACTATCGAAACAATCACTATAACAGAGCCATATTCAATAACAATTAGCCTATTAATAATATGTATTTTGGAAATCAAAAACTATGATTAATATCGCAAAAGATTCAAATGTCAATTCTACAGCGTTTTTTTCGGTGCATGCTGGTGAAATCATGGTCGAGAATATATGTATAATAATGATACCCGATTCTGAAATTTAAACTTAAAATTTCACGAAAATATTGAATCCTGGCGAATGAAAAGGCGTCTAAATGGTAAAATGAACTGTACACGGAAAAAAAACTCAGGCCGTGGAAGCCGCAATTACGGGCTATATAGACATACCGTCCGTTCCGGGCTCAAAGGCCGAAAATTCCGGCTGCTGGAGGCGTAGCTTCGATTGCTCCTAAGTGAGGGTGAATTAGATCAAAAGGGGCTACATACATAGGTTCCACGTGCCTCATAGTTCGTTTTGATTCGAGTTCATTTGTAAGTAGCTCATTTTATCATAAATACCTCAATATACGGGTGATTGTAATTCCGGTCCCGCCCGTTCTAAGTGAGTGAATATTCAAAGCAGGGAAAATAGTTCGTCTCTAAATGAACGCATACGAATCAAAAGGACCTATCTTCATTATGACACAGGCCCTGTCATGCGTGTTCTCTTACGGACTATGGGGCCCAAGTGACAATGCAGATAGTCCCTTTTGTTTTAATTATGTCTAATTACAACGCTTCCGGTGCGGGCTAACCCAAAATACGCTGATGGAGAGGGTTACGTCATGGTTTGATGTCATTGTCGTAACTCGATTAGCGCGGTCTATTTAAATCCAGCATCTGGCCATTGATTCGTCGCTCGGCTGACATAAGGGCGTAACTCCACATTGAGATGAACCTGGAGAAGCGTTGAATTGTATGGAAGATAGGGTTCATTGCAGAGTGTAGTTACGCCCTTGTGTCAGCAAAGCGACGGAGCAGTGAAAGGAGAGTGACGAATCAAGAAAGAAGCCAGAAAGCGGAAACTGTTCTTTCCTTGCCTTTCCTCCTATGTAACCGTGTGCCCGTGCACCTCGGTATTAATGAAGATTCTGTTTCATTATCATCGTCTTGGAAATTAATTTTGGTCCGTTAAGTGTGTATTCTCTGAACAAAAAGGATTATTGTCCTCTTTTTAACAAAACATTTAATCAAGATGATTTGAGGCTACATTGGAAGAAAAAAAAACATTGGATCTAGAGTCCAGACTCTTGAAAACATTGACAAGAAAAAAGACTCTTGATTCAATCAGATTTAAACCTAAATCAAATGGAAATCCGCTCAAATTAAGAAGCTTGGTTCTTGATTTAAGCAAAAATCCGATTGAATCAAGAGTATTTTTTCTTGTCGATGTTTTTAAGAGCCTGGACTCTAGATCCAATGTGTTTTTTCCAGTGTTATATTTGAAATCATTTATATCTAATTTTTTCAAAAGCTACATTTATGTGCCTTGTCCTCCAAGCCCCTCCATTGTAGATAACTTATTCTTCAAAGTAGGGTCAATCCTAGAAAGTCCCTCTCAATAGCATAAGCGTGAAATAATAAACGCCTGGATAATGGATGATCAAGTACAACAAAGAAATCCAGAGGCTAGGTCATGCACCGATAATTGATAAAGCGCTGATCTCCCGTTGCGCTGACTGGGCCCCGGATGGAGGCTCGTTAACACCTCCAGTTTCAAGGTCGTTACTGATCGGAATAAGCTGCGGTCTCAGGATCAGCAATGGACCATTAGACAAGGTACGAATTTCAGCATTCTGATACATGTTTCTCAACCAAAATTTCACGTAGAACACGATACGCACAACGAAAATTACCAAAATCAACTCCTGACGAAGATATTTAATGATTCTTGATGCGTGAATTCAAACCACCCGCTCATGAAAACTCATAATGCTCTACGTGATTCACACCGAGCGCTAAACGTTATCATGGCAGTCTCTGCGATATAAAAATCTGGCAACCTCGATCTCAACGCTTTGGCTCAGCTATAGCAAATACTTATAGTTTGAACAACACATGGTGGGAAATGAACATTGCTCGTTTGAGAAGCTTGCTGAAACCGTTGTAGTGCGCGACTTGACTCACGGAGAACTTTGAGTTTCTTGTGAGCGGGCAGTTCAAATTCCTCGTAACCAATGTGAAATAAAAACGTTAATATCTTCGTTAGGAGTTGGTTTCAGTAATTTTCGTTGTAAGAATCGTGTTCTACGTAAAATTCTCGTTAAGAAACATGTATCAGATTGGTTAAATTCGTACCTTGTCTAGTGGTCCATTGAAGATATCTGCCATGCTAAGGAAGATCGCCGTATTAGCCTTCAAGAGTTGCCCGCAGTTTTCCTCGACCAAAAAAAAAAAAAGAAAAAAAAAATGTTCAAGAAAAGAAGGGGTTATAGATAAGGGTCGTTTATTCCCCCCCCCCCTCCCCAGCAGAATTTCCTCAACTTTATAATTTTTTGCTCATTGAAGGTCTTTGTTTTAGGGATTGTATCATGGTTTGTTCATTTCTGATCTCTTTTTAGGTTCCAATACCGGCCTAAACATGGGTCTGAAGACTGATTTTGACGAAAAATGCTGCTTTTTTACATTTGACCGCAAACCCGTACAACCTGCATTTTCGGTCATAATTGGCCTTTAGACTTATGTTTAAAGGGCAGTATTAGACTCGAAAAAAGATCGAAAATGACTACAAAGCATGATGAATACCGTGAAAGGTAGACATTAAATGAGAAAAAAATCTTAGAATTGAGGAAACTTAGAGTGGGCTCATAGATAATCCTAATCGAAACTCCTCTTTTGCAAATATTTTCCTTCTGATTTTTCAGGGAATTTCGTTCATAATTTATTCTAAAAAATCTGGAAATTCCAATGGAAAATTTTCATGACTTTCCTTACAAAATAAACATTTTCTGAGAGGAAATTTGACAACATCCGGTTAGTTATAATGGCCAGTTATAACGGCCGGTTCTACCGGTGCTCGGTAGAAATGTCCTCTTTTATACGCTCAATTGACAAATTGTCTAATGAAAAGAAGTCCTTTCACGAGATTTATCAGCCTCGATTAATTTCACTTTCGATAACGCCTCCCGCTACGCAACTTTCTGATTGGATGGCGAGGCCTTCCACTCCAATGTCATCCGGATCGGTCCGAGACCTGCAACGCGAGTGCGTGACACGGGGAACTTGTACGGGACGGAAGCCTGTTTTGGGTTGGCACTCCTCGTGAGCAGGCAGCGCAAACCAGACAACTTGATTTCAAACATGACACGCCAAAAGGGTATGTTTACTGCCGTTAAGTTAAAGTCGGCGCTCCTCTGACGTAAGGTCGTAACTTAATTTACATGTGAGCCCTACTCTTCGTACACTGAAAAAAAAATACATTGGATCTAGAGTCCATGCAGACTCTTGAAAACATTGACAAGAAAAAATACTCTTGATTCAATCAGATTTAAGCTTAAATCAAAAGGAGATCCGCTCAAATTAAGAGACTTGGTTCTTGATCGAAGCAAAAATCCGATTGAATCAAGAGTGTTTTTTCTTATCGATGTTTTTAAAGTCTGGACTCTAAATCCAATGTGTTTTTTTTTCCAGTGTATAACTCTATGCTTTTTGGGGCTCATGTGGCCCTGAAAGCCAAATATAAAATAAAAAATAAAATTAAAGTGTCTGTAGCAGGCAATTTGACGTTTTTTAAGTGTCTACCTCTCAAAGGTTACAACTTATCAGCCCCTATTTCTTTTAATTGTATATGACCGGCTCGCAGACATGATTTTCCCTCAAATGCGTTTGCTCATGTAGTAGCTGTTCTTTAATGTTTCTCATTTGGATGTATTTCTGCCTAACGGAACCAGAGACAGGTGTGAAAGAAGGGATGCGCTCGTTAGTCGGGGGCCGTAAGAATGAATGGGAATTATAAAGCGCCAGTGACGTCAGCGGTGACGAAGCCGCCGCGGTTGCCCGCGTTCGTTTTTGACTCATACGCCCTGTCCACAACGCTCTTTTCTGTGCCCGCGGCTCATGAGTGCCGCATACACAGTTGGCGCTTAGTTCCGTTCCTAAGAATGTACACTGAAAAAAAAAATCTCGGTGTATTTACTAAGGAAAGGGTAAAATTACCAAGAATTAAGGGTTCTATTTGATCCCAGTTTTTCCTTGGTAAAATTTCTATTTATGGAATTAGTAATTTTACGAACTTTCTCGGTAATTTTACTGGACCTTGGTAAAAACGCCAATATTTTTTATCGACTGTGGTAGAATTACCGAGATATAATGGCTAAGTTGCCGGGAATTTATTACCAATAAAAGTAGTATTCTTACCTGGAAAAAACAGTAAAAATACCGGTTTTTAAGTAAGCTTACCAGTCTGTCTTGGTAAAATTACCAATAATTGGTAAAAAAAGTGAGATGGTAAAGGTACCAACGGACCGTGGTAAAAACGCCGATGGTTTTTTTTTTCAGTGTAAACTTCCGCTTTTTCATTTCTTTAAAGGGAATCCCGCCCACTGTACTTTATTTCTTAGGCAGCTTTCTAGAGCACACCCCATCTTTTCAACTCATCTCTGGTTCCTTTTAGCAGAACTACGTCCATTTATTTACTCATTTTTTGTTCAACAGATTGCGGCTTGAGCATAAGTAAAAGTCACCGGCAACCAAGAGCCAATTATACCTCTTTTTCCGAGGGACGCCTCATCAACGGAAAGGAGTCTCTACAAGGTGCTTGGCCATGGCAGGTAAGGCGCTTTCCTTTGCTTTAATAACCATAATTCAATAAGCAAAAAAGGGTCTATACACTGGAAAAAAAAAAACACATTGGATCTAGAGTCCAGACTCTTAAAAACATCGACAAGAAAAAATACTCTTGATTTAATCAGATTTAATCTTAAATCAAGAACCAAGCCTCTTAATTTGAGCGGATTTCCTTTTAATTTAAGCTTAAATCTGCTTGAATCAAGAGTCCTTTTTCTTGTCAATGTTTTCAAGAGTCTGGACTCTAGATCCATTTTTTTTTTTTTTTTTTTTTTTTTTTTTTTTTTTTTTTTCTGGTGTATGTCTCTATTTTAAGAGGAAGCAATAAAAAAAAAAAAACGTATGTATTGAATTACTTCCGTAGATTAGGTTTTATTTTCAAGATCTTTGTCTTAAAGACCTTCGGTATGCTTAAGGTGTTGAGAAAGGAATTGCGTTATACCGTTTTGTCACTTTGGCCAATTAAACTGGACGAACAGGGAAATAATACGTCATGAAATTCTTTACTCTTCCACCTTGCGTTTAAGTCTCCGAGAAATCTTGTATACTTCCCGACTCATTGAAAGTGTTGAATTAGAAAAAAATTTTGTTCATGGCTGTCATGGCCAACATGGACTAGACGAAAAGGGAATTGTTCAGTCATGAAAAATGGTTTACTTTCCTTATGCTGCGTTTAAGTCTCCAACATTTCCTGGGTGATTTCACGATAATAGGAATAGTCGTGTCGCCGTGGGTTTTGAACGACATAGGGCAAAACGATTGAAAACCAAATTAATTAATCAATAGGAATGATGTCCCTGAACCTATCCATGCTAAAAAATATGATGAATTATAATTATATTTAATAATATGAGACTTAAAAGGCCGAAAATGTCCGGTCGGTTACGCGTCGCCAACCCCGATTTTGAAGCAAAAGAGCAATTTGCTGTAACAAATCAGTACTAATCATGAACTCTATGGCAATATTTGCTGAAAAGAGACTCTAGTGTTCAAGAAAATTGCCAGTTTGAACTGAAATGTTTATTATTGAGCGAGAAAAGTCGTAAGAAAGAGGTGTCACCACATTTGGCAACAAATTTTTGCAGTTGTATAAAGTGCAGTGTTTATCTCGCCAGATGGAGTCAGGAGTTTCAAAAGTGCCATCAAATTGTTTGCTGAAGTCTTCCTGACAAAACTATTACTAATAAGTCAGTTTTTTTTAACAATGAAAACTTTAATTATTATGAAAACCAGTGATTTTTACGTGTGTAGCACTAATTCCTCACTACGCAAAAACCTCAATTTAATAGTATTAAACTAAAAGGAAGTCTCCAAAGTTTAGAAAACTTTTAAGGCAGCATTAATTCCACCTCATAACTCAAGAATTGCCAAGTTTCATATGTTGTATCATCTTTAATCTCACATTTTTGAGTGTCGGTTACGCTGTGTCTGTTACGTAACCGACACAATTTGGCAGGGCCGCCATGTTTGCGTGGACCTCCAGCAGTCCCGCGGGAAGCGCTGATACCTAATTCAATGGCTTGTTTATCAATCACTTTAACTTTGCACTGAATCAAAATAGAGCGTGCCAAAGCTGGAAAAAGGAAGTTTAATACCTTTAAAATGAGGTAATGAAATCCTGTTAAAATTGGTGCACTTTTATTTCTAAGGTATTTCACATTTTAACTATTCCTGTTATCGTGAAATCACCCTCCTATGTGTTTCCCGACTCACTGAAAGTGTCGGACAAGGAAATGTTTTTCATTGTGGGTATCATGATCAACTGCGGACTACGAACGAAAAAGGAACTGTCCAGTTATGAAATGGTTTACTTTCCTTACGCTGCGTTCAAGTCTCCAGGCTTACCCCTGTGGGTTTCCAGCCGAATTTAATTGTTGGACAAGAAAATGATTTTGACCAAGGCTTTCATAGCCAACTGGACTCGACGATAGGAAGTTGTCACGTCATGAAATGGTTCCCTTTTCCACGCTGCGTTTGAATCAACAACATTTCCTGTGCTGTTCCCGACTCATTAAAGGCGTCCAATCAACGTCTCTGTTTTCGGTGTACAACCAAACAACAATGGCAAATGAAATGGACCTTATTTGAAAATTCTAGGGCCTTAAAATAATATATATAGACATATTTCATCGAAATTTTCGGCTTTTTGAGTAGAGATAGTATAAAAAAAAGATAAGTAATATATTGAAATTCGTACCCAGTAGCATTTTTCAGCCAAAAGCGATCCTTAAAAGTTGGTAACACTGTTCTTCCTTCATTTAAATGTATGTAAAACAATCGATTCATGGCAAGAAAGCTTGCCTCACCTAAAATCAATATTTTTAATGGGTTTAAATGGAGGAAGAACAATGTTGCCAACTTTCAAAATCGTCTCTGTTTTTAACTGAATATGTAAAGGAGGCAAAGTTGACACAAGAAGGGTTAGGCATATTACAATTTTACCTTAAATTTTCGAAGGAGGTCAAAAGACTTCTTCCGTTCGGTGACACTTATCTATATTCGAGAATTTGTTTCTTCTATCGTATGTACACCTTAAATTGCATTACGAAAAATAATGCCAACAGCCTAACAATTTTTTACGTGATACTGGATCAAGAGTCCAGACTCTTGAAAACATTGACAAGAAAAAATACTCTTGATTCATTCAGATTTAAGCTTAAATCAAAATTAAATCCGCTCAAATTAAGAGGCTTGGTTCTTGATTTAAGCTTAAATCTGATTGAATCAAGAGTATTTTTTCTTGTCGATGTTTTTAAGAGTCTGGACTCTAGATCCAAGGTGTTTTTTTTCAGTGGAGCTCAATTTCCGTTGACAGCAATAAATGTAAGTACACATTGAGGTGTCTAAATAAAGAATTGTCTAAATTTAGAGAACAGTTTGAGACAAGTATTTCTCTCTGCTGAATATGTTAGAAAAATTATCTCATGCTAGATTTAATTTTCAGGTTTCTTTGCAGCTTCTCCATCCAAAGTTTGGACTTATTGCTCATTGGTGTGGTGGAGTTCTCATAAGGCCATCTTGGATTCTGACTGCTGCACATTGCATTCACAAGTAAGCCCAACAACTTTAAATTGCGGAAAAAATCTAAAATTTCTGTATAACTTAAGACATATGCCGCCATAATTACAAATGTAATGGCGAAAATTTAGAAATGATTAATATTTAAAACGTCATGAAGTGACAACACTTTCAATAATTGTTGCAAAAAAATATTTGAAATATTTAATCTTACTTTTTTACATAGAAACCTTCGTTTTCATTAAGTAAGGCGTGATTTTTTCTTTGAATGCTGTTGCATGAGCATTAACTTGACCGCATCCGATCGCCTTAAAATAATGAGATAGGCAATTAGTAAACCAATTGGAAGACCGTAATTCGAATTTAGGAAATAATGAAGGGTTTCCTCATTCTAGAGGATTTTAATTACAAATACTTACGTTGTAATTAGTTATATTCCATGTTTTAATTTTAAATTTCTCATTTGATTGATGGCTATATTTTCGACTAGGTAGTTCTCTTTGTTTTCATCTACAAAGATTTTAATTACATTCTCACGACCAGAAACTGTAGATATCTATACCAAAAATTTGGTGTTCTAAACTACCATTTAAAGGAAAAACGTCTTATAAATCTTCAGACGTTGCAAAATTTCCCTCGATAAATTTCGAATTTTCAAGGATATCTATGAATACCTTTCATCCAAATTTGGAGATAAATTGATTTGCAGTCAGATCTAGATTCTCTGCAAATGGGCCTGTTGCAAACTTTTGCTAGAGCAAAAATAAGAGTTGTTTCTTGTAGATAATGCCTCAAAAATCACGATGAGCGCATCGGCAAAGTCTGAAATGCACTCATAACTTCACAATCTGCGTAAGAAATTTGCGGTTTTTTGAGCTTCCCGCTTCGAAAACGATACTACGGTACAGGTGAACATTTTGTTAGAGGAGTCGTTCCATTGGCGACAATACTCATCATGGCCGACACTTGCGCGCAGTTTTGCGCGTAATTCGAGGAGAGTTCAAGGTCAATCAATGCGGGCGTGGAAAACATGAACGTTAAAACACCGATTGTTATCTGGTCTAATCCAGTTCAGGTGTTATCTCGTCCCATCAAACGTGTTTTGGCGGATTGGCGTCGGCCATGATGATTATTGCCGACGATGGAACGACTCCTCTTACAAAATGTTCACCTGTGCCGTAGTATCGTTTTTGAAGCGGGAAGCTCAAAAAACCGCAAATTTCTTACGCAGATTGTGAATTTATGAGTGCATTTCAGACTTTGCAGATGCGCTCATCGTGATTTTTGAGGCATTATCTATAGGAAACAACTCTTCATTCTGCTCTAGCAAAAGTTTGCAACAGGCCCATTTAAAGCGAAAATGTTTATGATTCGCCTTAAAACAAACATTTTATCGGAGGAAATCCGGCAACTCTCAAATGTTCGTCCGGCGTTTTTCCTCAGCAAGGCAGTATAAGCCGAAGCTTTTATTTTGTGTTTTAAATGATGAATTGAAGTATCAATTGAAAGTGGCCACTAGATTCTCCGCAAACAATTCAGTAAAAAGTCGTTTTTTTCCAGTGACGTGTTCAGCCTCCCATTAGCGGCTTTGTGGACGGCCGTTCTGGGTGACTGGAATCGGGACATCGAGGAAAACACCGAAGTCAGGATTCCGATCGAAAGTATCGTCATCCACGAGGCATTCCACAATTACCAGCATGACATAGGTAAATGCTCACCTGTAGAGTTTAGAGTGCGCTACTCATGAGCACTGTTTCTTTACATTCATAGTTCTTTTGGAAGAATCAGAACTTCCCAGGCAAAATTTTCCATGCATCAAGCAAAAATCAGCGGCACACTGAGAAAAAATTGATTGATTAGAACGAAGAAACCCGTTTCCGTACACCGAAAAAAAGTGAAGTTGATTTAGTGATTAAGTGAACTTACGAAATACTAAATTACCCGCTACAGCAGTTACTCTAGCAATTCCAATATGTAAAAATAACCACTGTGGCGGGTAACTCAGCATTTTTAAGTTCTCGAACACTTTTTTTACATCCAAAATGTTAAATCAACTACTCACTTCTTTTTCGGTGTAACAGTTTTTCGTTGCCAGAGGCTAATGCTCGCTGCGTCAAGAGCTATTTATTGTGTCGAGTAAAACTGAGTTGAGCAATTTAAAAACAACGACCCAACTTTATGGTAATGATGAAGTAAATAAAGCGAAAAACCCGATTTTGTGCATGCATTAAGGGTCAGTTTAGTCCACACTGAAAAGAAAATAACTATAAATTACCGCTGAGAAATATGTTTGCTTGAATCGAGAATGATGATGCTTCATTAACCTACTCTCTTGTTTAATTCAATAAGTTTTCCTTGTTCCTAGAGAAATTCAGCATGAAGCAAGATAAATATTTTGCCTTTACCCTATCAAATTGATATCACCCAGCTATTGCCAAATTTAACCGGGCAATTTAATTTTTTACATGAAAACGGTTGTGAGGATGTATCTGCTTTCAGTGAATTTTCTGCCTAGTACGAAAGCGAATTCCTTGAACATTTCCAAGTAATCCGCACATAAGTTTTCTTCTAAAAAATTAAATTGTCCAGTTTTTGGCAGTAGCTGATGTGGCCTGCTTTCTTCCTACTAAACGCGGTCCAACTAGATGTTCGATAAATTTTCTCAATTTTTTTCTCTTGCCATTAACTGTTTTTGAATCAGTGTTCTCACTTCCCGGAACTAGTTCGAATTACGGAGCTTCTAAAATTTTCCTGAATTTTTCCCCGAACTTTTGAAAATCCGGAAATTTTCCGGATCTGTTGCATTTTCCGGAACTTTCTCGAAACTTGTGGAAAAATTTAAAAAGAATCCCGGAACTTTTAACGGTCATGGAATGATAGAAATGGAGATGTTGCATGTGTGAGGGATTTGCGATTTGACTGTTGATTCTCATGTAAAAGCTCGCGAGATAACCGATGGTGCCACTGGTTTTCTCTGAAATCATCTCCCAAGCTCAAAAAAAGCTCTCAAAGTGAGGCCAAAATAGAGGATATATCCCGCCCTACAGAGTCCACCTCTACATCAAGACAAACTCTCCGTGCAAAGATAGGGAGCAAATACATTAGCAGGGTTGCCGTGTTTTCAGTTTTGGAGTCTCCAAATGAAGTGGCAGCCCTGTCAATGTATTTGCTCCCTATCTTTGCATGGAGAGTTTGTTTTGATGTAGAGGTGGACTCTCAGGGTAAGGTGGGATATCCCCGGCCATTTTGGCCTCAACTTGAGAGCTTTTTTTGAGCTTGGGAGTTGATTTCAGAGAAAACCAGTGGCACCATCGCCATCGTGTTTCTCGCGAACTTTTACATAAGAAACAACAGTCAAATCGCAAATCCCTCACACATGCAACATCTCCATTGGAACAAAAACGTTCCGGATCCCGGAAATTTTAACGGACAAGGAATGGTAGCACTGTTTCGAATAATATAAAATATTTTTTTGTGGATTATTTTCCAGCTTTACTGAAGCTCTCCCGGTCCTTGAACCAGCGTGACCGCGGCGTACGGTCAATCTGCCTGATGGAGGCGGGGTCAGCGTCGGGGTCAGGGGTTGCTGAGCGGGAGATGGAGGGCGCGAAGGACTTGACGCGGCTCTGCGTGGCCACCGGGTGGGGCCGCACGGACGCCAAGGGGGCCCTCTCTTCGACCCTGAGGCAGATCAAGGTACCCCTCCATGATAACGCCGTCTGCAAGAGCAAGTATGAGCCCAGCGTCCTCATTCAGCGAGGGCATCTCTGCGGGGGCAAGTTGGACGGGCACAGCGGCGCTTGCGTGGTTTGTATTGTTAAAATTGGTTATATTTCGTCGCTCCTTTGCACAGAAAAAAATAGGTGGTGCTGACGACAGAACCTTCTGCTCACAGGGCTCCTGCAGTTTCTTTGTTACACTTACAGAATTTTTCTGTTGTGAGAACAGAATTTCGGTCGTGGGAACAGAGTACTCTGTCCTCATAACGGAAGCTTCCGTGACCGTTACAAAAAAAGTCCAGGAGCCGTGTGAACAGAACTATTTTTTTTCAGTGTGACATGAGGTTCGTATCTCAATGTTCACATAAGCCCCAGTAAGCATAGATTTATAAGTAAAACAGGGCTCATGTGTACACGTGGATACGTTTTTACGTTAGGGGGCCGAAGATTCCTGGGATATTTTTGAAATATTGTGAAGATTTTCAGAATTTTCCTCACGGAAAAAATATGTTTTTTTTTTTTTTTTTTTTTTTTTTTTTTTTACTAGTCGAAAACAAATGCTTTTCCCTCAGAAGAATTTTTTTTGCAAGAAAGAATTGTTTTCTTGTTCAAATGCACTCAAAAATAAATTAATTTCTCATTTTATAGCAAACTTACATTTGTGGAATTGAAAAAAATGCATTTGAATTTAAAAAAATGCACTGGTAAAATATTGTCTCTCCAGCATAACTTTTTCTAGAAATTAAGATTAAAAAAAAGAAAAAAGATAAAAGAAAAAAATTGAGCCAAAAACTAATCTCTAAATCAAAGAAAACAAATTTACATTAGGTACATGGTCTAACAATTTTTTCGGTGTTGATATCAATATGTTTGCCAACATATTCTATAAAATATTTCCAAACATTTATTTTTTAAATAAAAGTTGCTACGAAAACATTTTGAAGACGTTTTTATAGATTTTCTGCCGATTTGTTTGGCTATACTTTTGATGACCCATTAAATATTTCAATACTCATTGAGCACTTTAAAAAAAAATAAAAGTATAGTCTAAAAATATATAACTTAAAAAAAAAGAAAAAAAATATTAAAGAACTGGCAAATTTTTGAAACAGCAATCTTACAGTAATATTAAAACTATTTCAAAGTCTTTTTGACTCACCGTCAAGATACTTTGAAAAGTTCAAAATATACATATGTTTACACCTCGGTACAGTCTACAATTTTAACTCTTTTCGCAGGTGCAGTTGCTCCTAAAATAAACAGAGGAAAAAATAATTGTTTCTCGAATTTCTGTCAATTTAAAAGTCTCTTTATAACATCCAACTCATGTGTTTGTAGGGAGACTCTGGTGGACCCCTGCAGTGCATCCTGAAGGACGGTCGGTGGTTTTTGGCCGGGATCACTTCTTTCGGATCGGGATGTGCCAAGCCCGGCTACCCGGATGTCTACACGAGACTCTCATTCTACGTGCCCTGGATTCGGGCTCAAATCAAGAAATACTCGGAAAAGTCCAAGGACAGCTGATGACTTTCGGAAAGCGTATATAGTTACTCCAAACCGCGTGACAAAAAACTCCTTTAGGTTCAGTTACACGATCAAATTGAGCCATCAAACTGAGGCTCTGATTGGTGGAAAAAGACCTGAGGCGAGGATGCTACCAATGAGAGGCCCAATTTGATGGCTCAATTTGATCGTGTAACTGGACCTTTTCAGTTGAGTTCCTGCAAGAGTTCACTGGAAAAAAAGTCGCTTGGATAAGACAGAGTCAAGACTAGAGACTAGTGAGTCTTGACTCTAGACTCACGTCTAGAGTCAAGACTCTTAAAAACGTTGACGAGAAAAAATACTCTCGATTCAGTCGGACTGATAGGTCGGTAAATACATCGATATATTGCAAAGCATGCTACGCCAATTTTTGCTAGGTATAAAAAGCTGTAAAATTAAATTACCCGAAGCTTGTTTTATATTAATTATCAGGCAGTACACGGAAAAAAGCGGTATGGGTTATTGGATGATATGGGCATTTCCGATTAATTAGGTTACTAACCGAAATGTCGCGGCACCACTCCAACTTGAGTTGTGGCATTACCACAATTAATTAGGAATACCTACATTATCCAACAGAGCGGGGTAGTACCACAATTTCAGGGAATAACCCCTCACACTTTTCCCCGTGTAAAATTACTTGGAGCAGGGTAAAATTACTGTAAAACTTACGGGAATTCCTGAGATTATGATTAAACTCAGACTGACCTGGTGTTTCTCCATCGCAGCAATAACTCTTAGAGATTTTTCAGCACTCAGAATAAATTGTCTCGTCGTTTTCACGAAATTTAAGGGTGCAAGCTGCTACTTAGATGCAAAAACATTTTATGTGGCATTTTGATGATTTTGAGAGAGCTGCGTTTAAAGTTGAAACACATAGATGTTGGAACTTATCTGAAGTATCATACATATTGATATCATGCATATTGTTCATGCATTCGATTATTTATTTGATTTACAAGCGTTCCTGTAAAAATTGCTCATAAAACCCTTGCCAAAGAGCTTAGGTATCTAAGATGTGAAATTATGACGCATGCGGTGCCTTTTGCACCTCCGATATATTGTGTTCAATACTTGTTTTTACAAGCTCAGTACCAAGAATGTTTTAAATTGTTTGCCCATTGACGCAAACTTTACTTTTTCTCTAAGATCGTGTGCGGTTCTGAAAAACTTTCGACAGTTTGAGAAGCGACATTCTTTCCGACGAATCAGAAGTCAGCACAGTTAACATTTGACTAGCATGAATCTCTTTAGAATGTGTTACAAAATTACTGCAACACCTTAGCAATCAATAAAATTGAATTTCTAGGCAATAAATAGAGGCCACTACGCCAAAAAAATTGTTCATTCCCATTAAATCAATTGTTGCAGGCTCTTTTCTTCTTAATCATCTTCTTCCCCTTCCTCTATCTTAAACGAATTATTCACTGTAATTTGTAAATTATTTGAAAAATAAATGAAATCCAATCTCATCTGCGGTGCGCCCTGTCTGTACATTTTTTCATTATTACAGTTTGTATTTCATATGTTCAAAATGGCCCAAAACTTTTTTTAAGGTTTCTTGAATCCCTATGTACGCACAAAAAATTTGTCGAATCGGATGCATTTAAGTGAAATAAACAAAGGGAAAAAATATTGATGTGACGATGTAATTGATTAAGTCAGCTTTTCTTCGTTGACCCGGCCTCCGACTCGCCGAGGCCGCCCTCACTCGGTGAAAACTGACTTGCGTGAAAATACAGAGCGCCTTCAAATCTGAGGTAAGCAAGAGGCGTTACGGGAGAGTCGCCAGCGCGCCGAGTTCGGCAGTAGGATTTTTGTTTGAGCCTCGCAAGTAGTCGCAAGGCAAGGCAAGGCAAATACTGAATAGCACTGTGTCATTTCTGCAGGAGCTAAAAGGGCACATGGGTGGTTTCACGATAACTGGAATAGTTTTTTCGCCGTAACAGACAACGCATTTTTCGGTCATATTTTTAGTAGTAATGATAATCTCTCGAATTTTTTTGCATTAATCTACACAGGGTTACGTGTTATAACGCTTTTCAAAGATTTATCGCCCTACTTTTTAATTTTAATGTATAAATGGCCGAAAATGTGCCGTTTGTTACGCTGACTTTTTACCGCGTAACAGACAGCACAGTTTCGGAATTTACATTAATTATTGAGAGGAAGAGCAATAAATCATTAGAAAGCGTTTTAATCCGTAACTCATTGAAGATTAATGCGAACAAATTTGAGTGGTTATCATTTCTACTAAAAATATGACTGAAAAATGTGTTGTCTGTTACGGCGACAAAACTGTTCCAGCTATCGTGAAACCACTCACATGTTACATATGAATAGAACGTATCTGAGAGGAACTTGTTTGTAGCAATAGTCGGTGAATTAGAACCAGGGGAGCACTGTCACATTTGAAAGGTTCAAAATTTTTTTTTTTTTTTTGTAAGTATAGTATGTTCGAATACATTTTGATGGCCGAAGTGCGAAACGTATCTCTGTTTGTGATTTTGATGAATTACTGTCGTGCTCTGTTTTTTGTCGGAAAACTCGTCAACATAATTTTTTGGAAACTTCCTTGATTTCTCTCCTCTGTTGGCAGAACATTCAGTATTGATTTCAAGCTATGTATCGTAGTTAGCTTGTTTTTCTTTAAAAAATAAATAAATAAAATAGGAGCAAAAATTTTGAAACAACGCTGCGGAGATACGCGGTTTCGCACTTTAGCCATCGATTTATGAAGTAAGAGAGTTAATCACTATAATCACATATACGATCCAACATTTTATAGGTGATTCTGTCCATAGCGCAAAGAACAGGGCTGGATTAAGGGGATGGCCACATGGGCCGCGGCCCATGGCGGCAAATTTTGCAAGTTTTTTGCATTTTGCAATGTAGATATCAAAAAAAGAGAGAAAAAAAATCGGATTCAGAAAATAAATTACAAACGAGAAACGGCGACAGAATCTCTCATTTCCTGAGGGTAAAAGTAAAGTAATTTCTAATTTTGTCGTCTTTCGGTGATACAAGAGACAACACCTTTAATTAGCCGAGTTAAGAGAGAAACCAAACACGCAATTTAACCTGGAACGGCGTGGCGGTCGGCATGAAGCGCATAGCGCCTACAAGACCTCATGAATACTTCACGCATTACGTCAAACACAGTGCGGTTAGCAGCGATCGGCGTGAAGCGCATAGCGCCTACAAGACTGCATGAATACTTCACGCATTGCGTCAAGTGTACAGTGCGTTCAGAATCGGTCGGTGTGAAACGCACAGCGCCTATTTAACCGTAGGAATGCTTCACGCATTGCGGCAAATACAGTGCGGTCTGTTTGTTCTTTCATAATTTTTTCGTTCGTTTCGTATAAATGGAAGGCCTTGTTCACACAGAGATAGGTTCACGGAACTTAACTTTCGCGCAAAGTTCCTGAACTTTTGCTGGTAATGTTGACAGGGCTTCGCAAAAAATGTGTCCAACACGAGTAAACGCGTCTTATGCACCCCTCCCCGCTGCACGTTCACTCAATGGTTTTTAGTGATGTTTCAAAACGAATGAGAAGGGGGCGGCAAAATACAGGCGGTCCACGGGCGCCAAGTAGGTGAATCCGGCCCTGGCAAAGAAATAGCAATACGATTTTTGGAGGACATTATTCAATGTACTCGATTGTTTCCCTCTACATAGGAAAATGATATGATACGCGGGAAAATTTAAATGTAGACACACGTTTCTAGTCAAAACTATATTAGACGATGCTTCGTTTTTTCCCAAGGTTTATATTTCTTATCAAGAAACTAAGCCTTGAAACTGATTGTGAGCAACATTCTGACTGGAAAAATTGCAAACAAGGGGTTTGAAGGGCAAGGCGGATAAGTGCATTTTTTTGGAAAAATCGAGATATTAATTATTTCAAGCGAAAAATTCGCTCCCAAATTCCAATTTTTAAGCATCAAAAAGTCATGTTTAAACTTTCTTTCCACAATAAGGATTCATGTAATTTCGAAACTTCAAACACTCATTTCTCAGGATAGCAAAAACTGCACTTATGCGCCTTGTCCTCCAAACTCCTCAAATATAGTACCTCTTCTTCAAAAAGCATCTACAAAATTTATACACACATTTTAACACATTGCCGTACACACAGCAAGTATAACGACAGTTTATCGCACTTACATTTCAGAGGGATGAAATCTATTTGTGTTGCCTTTGATTGAAAAAATGAAAAGCAAAGAAAAGAAAAGAACAAGATCATTAAGTCATCAACAATATAATCTGCAGCCTTCTTTTCATGATTTGCCACCCCCTAAAATTTGACTTTGATTTGGTATGTGGTTTAAGTTCTGGCAGCCCCCTCCCTTCCCCTCATCTAGTCTAAGAAAGAAAAAAAAACATGATGTGATTGAAACAATATTATTCCAATGTCCTACAAAAAATTTCAATGTCTCTTAATTTGCTATTTTTCTTAAAGTTCCTCTAGGATTCGAAAAAAGAAAACTAAATTTTGTTAGGGGCGATTCAAAAATTATTCCCCCCCCCCTTGTCTGATTTAGATTGGCGGGCGCGAACTGCGTCAAAAAGCCCGCCTTTTTATTTTCGCGCCAAGGAATTGCAGCGCTCTCTAGTTGCGAAACAGAGAGCCTCTGGTTGCATGTTTGGATGGAAGGGGAAGGGAAGAGGAAAGTTGCCAGTGTTCCCAGGCGTGCGGATATTTCCGCGCCGCGCGGACATTCCCTATACCCGCGCGGACAGCGTACGGACAAAAACCTTATGGGAAAATTTTTCCCTATCTTATTTTGTCCGTACGCTCGCCCGGCCCTGTCCGTGCGTCTGTTTATCCGCTTTTCTTTGCAATATTTATTACTTTTGCGTAAGTTATTGATACAATGATGTTTAGTATGAAAGCCGGGTATCGTTTGGGAACAAATTACATACTTTTCGCATTAATTATATTGTATTCTTATCAAAATTCAGTCATTTCATTTATGTCCGTGCGCCCGCCCGGCCCAGTCCGTGCATCTGTTAATCCGCTTTTCTTTGCAATATTTATTACTTTTGCGTAAGTTATTGATACAATTATGTTTAGTATGAAAGCCGGGTATCGTTCGGGAACAAATTAGATACTTTTCGCATTAATTATATTGTATTCTTATCAAAATTCAGCCTTTTCATTTAAGGTCCGTCCTTGTTTTCTGTATTGTTGTGCTTTTGTGTTTGATCACTCAGACATTTTTTCTTACTTTTTTTCTCAATTTCGCCAATGTTATTGATACAAGGAAGCCACGAATAAAACCCAGGTATCATTCAGGACCTTTCTGCATTAATTTATGTGTTATTCAATCAGTTCAATGGGTTAGGAATTATGAATTTCATGAAAAGTCAGCTCCTTTCTTTTGAATTATTGCTTTTTGATGTAGGCACCTATAATTGTTCCGATTATTTTTTCCTGTCAATGCTTTCTAGAGGACATAGGTACTTGAATGTCACAAGAGATCAAGAGAACATCAACATCATCAACAAAACAACAAAACAGCCGGAGCCGGAACCGGAAACGGAAACGGAATTCACGGAACACGGACGGAGCACGGAGCGGCACGGATATACACGAGCCTCCCCGAGTTCATCCGGAGAGCGTACGGACATTTTAAGATAGGAGCACCTGGGAACACTGAAAGTTGCTGTGTTGAAAATTGCTTCACAGAATACGTGTTTACAGATTGAATAAGTCATTTCACCGTAGTTTTTCAGCACCTTGAAGTTCAAAATTTCGAAGTTTTACGCATCTGGTCAATCAGTTTTTAATTTATCCCCCCACTGAACTGTTTTAGAACACAAATGGGTCGCAATCGCAGCTAAAAATTCGTTTTAAGATTCTCAACTTTAACTTGGTCTCAGCTTGAAGGTAATGGCTTGGTGCATTTTAATCATCCTCCCTAGCTCTGGCTTGCATCTTAAATGCTTTCTCTCCTTTCTGAATCTGTGTATTCCATCGTAAAATCTGCTTCTCTTTCATCCGCAACTTTCATAACCCATTTCGCCCACTTATCCTATCAAGCCAGCTTTGTTCCATCTCTGCCCGATGAAGTACCCCACAATGAGAGAAACACAATCTAATTGATCTATTCTGCATTGCTTTCTTTCTGCTTCGAAGTCAATCGATTTATCATATTTGATCTAGTTATGGCCTATCAAATTAGATTGTAACTCATTTTATGTGTTATCGGTGCAATCGATCGTGTGTGTCTCCCCCTAGCTTCAGCTACCATGTTGACTCCCGAGTGCTGTATTCCCATCGAGTATTTCTCATAATCATAGACTGAGGAGTGACTTACTGCTCTATATTTGACTCAACTTGGCATCCTAAATCGGTTTTGAAACTTGCAATGAAAAATTTTGAATGATTTTATGAGCCTTAGCCACATAATGAAGAGGGTTTCCTTTGTTCTTCCAGCCACATATTTTCGATCTAAGACTCAAAGTTTAGATTTTCATCAACTTGTTTGCAAGTTGTTTCACCATTAATTTTAAGCAGTGGGTGCTGCTTTGAATCCAAGCAATCAATCTTCAGTTACACACCGAAAAATAGTTGTAATCGTTTCTTCTCATCTATGACTGAAGTGAAACACATTTTCGGTGTATGAACTTTTGTCAATGCAACTTGCAAAGCAGAAAATTCACCCAATTTCGAGACTTAAACATTCAGTAACTCATCAGTCAGCTCTTTTTATTCAGCTCATAGTGAATTATACCGGAAAACATCCCTGGCAGCCTATCGGTATTCATTATATGTCACATCTAGCTCTGAACTTCTGATACTGAGAATATGATTGCCTGATATTTTTCTGTCACTTTCCCTGTAATAATGATAGTTACATTTGAAGATCTTTCCATGGAACCGCTCCATGATTTCAGTAAAACCTCATTCTTTAAGCTGAAGTTGAAATAGGCAATATATATCTTCATATAGAGTGAGTAAAGCACAGTTTTACCCTCTAGAGTCTAATAGCTGAAGGAGACTTGAAAACCTGTGGATCAAGAATAAATTCCCGTGTTCGAATATGACAAAAAATGACCTCAAGCACAGCAAGATTAAGACATTTTGAACATAGTCAGTTGAGAAAAGTCTTTGTGCCTAATTTAAGCGAGGAACAATTTTATCGATTTTATGAGAATAAAATGACAGAAATCATGAGAGAATTCTAATCCAAAATTAATTAGCCCATTGCTGATCTTTACCTAACTAGAGCTCCTGGAATTTATTACGTAAGCATTTCTGAAAGCCTCTACATACTTAACCTGAAAACTTCCGTGATCATTTCGTAGATAGCTTATAATCATACATTGTGTACACTGGAAGTGTATTAACCTCAAGTAAGTCATGACGAAGTGTTTCAACTGTCAAGTAGTCATACGCATAATGCAACCATACACAAGCTTGAGTTTCTTGTCTTTAAGGATAGCTCACAAATTAAAAATGCCAATACTCCAGACCAGAATTGAATTTTTCTTCGAGACAAAATGTTCCTGTACATAAAACCTCACCTTTATCGGTCTTCTTTTTTTCATTATGAGTTTGCAATGATACTTATACCAGTCAATTTGAAAAAAAAGGGGGTTGAATGCTCATTTGTTTTATATAGTGAAATGAAGAACATTTCGCATGATAATACGTAGTTGAGAAAATCTGAAATTGGGTTGCAGCGTCCTTGCTTTGGATGGCATCACTGTCCTAATTTAGAGCTAAAATAATTGGGGCAATTTCTTCTTTCTGCAACCATGCTGCTTTATTTTCATTTACCTTGATGGCTTTGTCCTCAAAGTATGATCTGTGTGCAACTGCGAAAGATTTTTGAAGTCAGGCGTTCTGGGTGAAATAACCCTTAAAAATTTCAGGTGAAATTGAATCACCATTTAGAGGGTAAATGTGCAGCCACTGATTATGAGCACAGGGATAAATTCATTTGAGTTGAAAAGTCTGATAATTAGGTGCTTGCCTCACGCCTCTCTCTCTCTCTTCAATTTTTTTGTGGGAGTATTTTATACAAATTTCCTACGAACCCAATAAAGTTTTTGACGGAAGCTCATTTAGTATCATACTCAACATCAATTACTCACCTCAAGAAAAAACACCAAGCATGTGGCTCAAAATGTATTTAACAAAGTGGTAAAATAGTGCTGGACCCACACTATTTTGCGGGGAATGCGAGGCCAAAAAAATTGTAAAATTTGAGCTCTCAATTGCATCAATACAGATCTGAAGGGAGAGTGTTCAGCTCAGGCTTTTGGATTGGAAATTTTTGGATTTTTTTTGGCCTTTCTTTCCCTGCAAAATAGTGTGGACCCAGCAATATTTTACGACCTTGTCATTCACTTTGTAAGGGAGTTATCCATGAAGTGATTGTTATTGTGTCATAAGTGACTGATCTGTTAACTACAACTCCTGGCACTGAATGATTCTTCACTCAATTAGAAAAAACATTTTACTAGAGTGCCGAGGATCACTGCATCGATTTAAAGTTTGTACATGAATCGTGAAAAAATCAAGGTAGCTTTCTCTTGCCAGCACGTACATTTACATGTATTGCTGTCAGCAAATTTTTTGCTGGGTTTCTCTTGGGCAAGCTCGCGTCAGGTTGATGGCCTGATGGATGCTTCAACCTGTAATTCTGCGAGATATACATGGGACTGCAACCAATCAACTGGTACTCTCAATATTAGAAGTGTCTTTCTAGTTTTTCTATTCTTGAGAGCCACATCTGTGTTACAGGCTGGATCCTGTTAACTGTATGCTCTATAACCACTTAAAATTGTAATAAAAATTTCCTTCAGATATCATTTTTTCAAATAAGAAGCAACACATTCCATTCATTGAAATTGTTTACACAATTTTGGCATTATGTGGGAGACCTATTGAGGAACTTGGAGGACACGGCGTATTAAGTGCAGTTTTTGAAAAAATTGAGACATTAATGATAAGTACCAAGTCAAACTAGTCTTAATGCATATTCTGTGAACAATTTTGGGAGCAAATTTTTCACAGAGTATGCCTTAAGACTAGTTTGACCTGGTATCATTAATACCACAGTTTTTTCAAAAACTTCACTTATGCGCGTAGTCCTCCAAGGTCTTCAATTCTAGATATAATGTTCAGCAATGAACTTTAGAGGAATCAAATATTTTAATAAAAAAAAATGTCTACACATTTTGAAACTCCCATCACCCATGTACCTACTTATAGTTGATTTAACAAATATAAGTAAGAAAAAACCCGTATTGAACAAAATTTTTGACTCATACTTAAATTGAAATTTTTGAACTTTCTCGCCTTGCTTTTTGCAAAAGAATGTGGACCCAGCACTGTTTATAAAGAACTTAACACCTCCTCATTTAAAGATAAATTATGCACTTAGATATATCTGTCGGAGGGAAGCCCACTACAAGTGTTACTAGTCAGGTCCCGAAAATGAAATCTAGAACTTTTGAATCCACGTTTTATTAACTCACGCCTAAAGCTCTTTTATGTGAGTCCACAGCTTTAATTTTTAGTGGAATACAGTACTTTGTAAGGTTGTAAGCAGGTTTGCACGATCAAAAGGTGCAGAGGAAAATTTTCTCCAAGTCGACCAAAGTTAAAATTTCATCCTGATTTTTGTGAAAGAAGGAAAGGGAAACCAGTTTTTTAGAACCAATTTTCTGGTCTTATTCCCCTTAATGACACTCAGGTATTTCACTCCCTACCAAATGAGACAGCATTTTTTTTTAAACCGTTTATTCCTAATTGTCAATAATTTTCGCAGGAGAGGATATGAGTGTCCAGAAAAAATAAGAAGACCATGGAAAATTTTTGGTTTTTTTTTTTCATCCAAAATTTTGTAAAATTTTTGATCTGACGTCATAATCTCTTCAACCGAGTTTAGATATTGCGGCGTCCGCGTTTACGGATAATCGTTCATGAAGTTCGGGTTTCCTTTGTTTTCATTTTGTGACGTTTGGCCCTAGTTGTCAAGTTTACAAAAGCTCCGAAAATTATCTGCTTAAACTTGGCAATCATGGCACATGCCTCTAGGTTATGTTCACATGTGGAACTCGGCACCTCGACGTCTTGCGTTGAACGTGAATGTGTTTACGAACTTTTCCCTTGCACGTTGATACATATCATCCCTTCCCAGCTAATTCAGAAGTTTTCTCAGAAATCTACGGCATCAGGTAATTCGAGAAGCAGTAGAACACCCGTGATCACCCGAAAGCTGTGCATGTATTTTTGATGGTTGCTTGACCAAAGCTTACCTTCAACCTCTCTTTTTTCAGCATCTGATAAACCAGGTTGCACATTGCATGTCGGTTGCGCAAATTTCGTGCAATCTGATCCGACCTGGCACTCTTCCAAATTGCAATGCGAAATATGTGAAATATTTTTTCAGCCTCAGGTTTCATCATCCTTTCCTCAATTCCATTTCTGTGAAAAAAACAATTGAAAAAAAATCACTTTTTTAATCTATTTGACAAGGCTAATATATCGTGTGTGCTTGAGCCTTTCCATTTGTTGATCTGTAATTGCTGTATTGAGTGTCACAAGTATAGTTGTTCAAAAATTGGAGGAATGCGCAAAATGTGAGACGGCAGACTGTGAGCAGCAGTCAATATTTTAATCAATTTTTTTTTTTAATTTTTCTAAGTCTTAATTGATTTCTGACAATTTTTTGGGTCCCTCACCAAGTTTTTATCCTTTTTTTTCTTTCTTTTTTTTTGTCCAATCATCAGCTTTAAAGCTTTTGAGAGGAGAAATCACTGAAGAAAAGTAATTTGCTGAAATGTTGGCAGTATTCGAAGAGGGAGTCCTATCACCTCTGGAGAGGATTGTTTCATTAACCCTCTTCAATTTTGTTTCAGAATCTGTAGAAGCAACAGAATCGAGCAACATGGTGTCAACACGGCAGCAAAGTAGCGTGGGAGGCAGCAATGAGAATTCATCGCACGGCTCCAGCGAAACGCAGCAAATTAGCAGTACTAGATCGGGACGTACAAGTGCACATAACGCTCATCCCACATCCGAGCTATGGAAGTCGGGATCAGCAAATGCAGGTGCTGCCTCGACTGTGGCAACACCGTCAACATCCAAAGCACCGCCAAATTTCCTAGACTTTCCTACTGAAATAATAGAGAAAATAGTCAATTATCTAGATTACAAAAATATTTCGCATTTAAGATTGGTAAGTTCGTACGTTCTTGCATCATTCTTTTTGATTCATCTTGTCTCAAATCAGTAACCTTTGAAGCTTGCAGGGTCTGCTCAGGGAGCAGCTATTTAAGTTGATGGATGAAGCTCGCAGTTGGTTTTATTATAACGAAAAAATGACATTTTTTGCTGGGGAAAACAAAAACAATAATGCATTCTCATTATTGTATTCTGTAGCAAATACAAAAGGAGGAATGAATTATGTGCATTTGGTGCAATTTTATATGCTAAGATAATAGCTCATACAGACTTTGCAATCTGAAAGGTTTGGAAACTGCTAACCCAAAAAAACCATTTGGTACTTAATGATGTGTCATCAATGACAAGTCATATAAACATTTTTATGTCGGTGACAAAATTTTCAAGTGGCTTTGGGGGCAGGTATTTCACATCTTTAGAAAAGTATTTTCAGGAGAAGATATCTACCCAAGAATTTTTGAAAGCAGAGGACTTTTGTTTTTGACGGGAAGTGTTCTGTAGAAGTCCAAGGAACACTGACATGCTGGAATGTACTAGTTAATTTTTTTACTACAACGGGCACTTGCCGTTTCATTTCTATGAGAAGTCATCATTTGATAAAAATGTCTTTCCAGTTCGAAACATTGCTTCCTAAAGTAACAGTTCACCCCCAAACTCCCCCAACTTCCCCCAAGTATTTTTGTACCATTATGAGCACCAATTCTTAAATTTAATGGTATGAAAAGGGAAATGAGTTACGCTAAGTTTTAGAAATTTTTTTCCTCCTTGCAGAAAGATAAGTCTTTTGTTGATCGCACTCTACATAACTGGAAAACAGGCGGTAAACTGTATGTAGTAAGAATCTTTTCAAAATGGTAGACCCATGTGTTTTTTTTCATACCTTGGAATGAAATAGTAGTACTCAAGTCCTCTCTATAAGGTTACGTACAATTTTTAAGCCCAGAAGAATTACTGGTTATGAATACAGCTGGAAAATACTTAGGAGTAGCAACTGTTTCAGATAACCACTTGGACTGATTAGATTTTTACCATCAGATTTAATGACAATGTGTCAATCCTGTGTGTAAAAAGCATTACCTAGAGTAAAATTGGTTTGTTGTCAGACAAACCACAACTTAGACTTTTCACTGATCCGATTTTTTCTTGTGGTTCTAGGTCTGTCGACGAATGGACAAGATTTGCGGAGGAATTCTAAATTCAACATTCCAACGCTTACAGCAGTCAATGTTGCACAGGTTTGTAATTCATTTTATATGGAGTAAATTAAAACAGTTTAAATGGACCACACATTGTTAACTACCATGAAAGTGGATGAAGTAGAATAATTCTATCTCACGACTATTGAAGCGTCGCAAATTCTTAAGTTGATTCCTCCAAGTTATTCTTAATTTTTTTTATTATTTTTAGCAATTTTTCACTGACTGGAGACCTTTCCAAAAATGATAATGATAGGATGATTTCAAAATACGGTAATTTAAGTAGTGAATAGTACCAAAGACCCTTCACTTTATTACTGTGTGTTAACTGTCTATCAAACTAATTATTTCATGCCCCATCAACAGAAAATTCAGCTACCAAGCTATTAAGACAGCATTGTTACTATTGAATAGATCGTATTCGATAATGGTTGGATGTATCATTTGGTTGAAAACAGTAGAACATAACCTCAATCAAAAATTTTAGGATCGAAGTAGAAAAAGCTGAAAATGAGAAAATTCGTAACAATTTCACTTTTCATTGCTATTTTTACTCGTGAAAATCAAAAATCTGTCACAAAAAACTCATAGATACAATCTCACCTGCTTTATGTATAGAATTCGGTCCATTTTAATTGTGCTGGAGCTAATCATCTCATGGAAAATATTGGTTGAGCCTCTCCCTCTCAAAATATCTAACATGGATACTTCAACAAAAATAATAAAATTCACTCATGTCAAATAGATGTGGTTCTAAGAGAGTGAACATTTTCTTGAAAATCATATTCTTTTTTTGAACAAATAAAACAATAAGTTTTAGACTTAACCAGTTAATGTGTATTCTAATCTTGTGTGTTTTAGATTTAAGAGTATCAAAGGTCAAATGCCCAGGAGGGAATCTGCACGCAGAGCACACCCGCTAGCTTGCGAGAGTGACATAGTTGAAACTCTTCACATGCGACTTACTCTTCTGCAAATGTCGTTTGGGAAACACATTGAGCGCAAACACTGTTGCTTTTTTGCAGGCGAGGTAAGCACCTGTTTGCCTGTTACCTTATAATGTGGACTCTGAATGATTTAAAATTCAAAGGGTCGAGAGATTTTTTGAATGAAATCAGCACCATAAGACTTGTTCTATCAAAATTTTTTATAGAATATGATAGACTTTCTTTTTTCTTTTTTGCCACTTAAATTAAAGGTGCGGTGATCTCATTTTTCATGGAATAAGTACTTAAGCTCTCATTACGTTTTCTTGCTGGGTACGCAAGATCATCGGGAACACTCAGACACATGCCTTTATGTCATAAGTGTCTGACAAATTATCCAATCAAGTGACACAGAAAAAGATTTTTTCCTTGGTAGGGTCATGAATGCATGTAAGGTAAGGAACAAGTAATGAAGGGGCAAGGATTTTTAGGAACCCCCAAGAAAGGAATTTTTGAGGAAGTAAGGATAAAGAATGGAGAAGTTGCTGACAAAACCAAGAATGTAATAGATATAGCAATATCAGACACCTTGTTGCTGTGTCCAAAATCAATGATTTAGGTGAAATTGAATGGTGTGTTGGACTTAAGGGATTATCATTTTCATCAGCAGCGTAAAATATTTATAAATAGAATGCACTCATTCAAAATTTAAAATCATGCCTTTTATTTTGTCAAATTTTATACCTTCAAAAAGTAAGAAGGGTAGATAAGTCGTACAACTCCTTCGTCTATGGCAGTTTTTACTTCAAGTTACTAAGCATGTCCTGTCTTGTCCGATTCTTGCAGTCGTTACAATTTTATTTTTTGTCCAATTTTTAACAATCCTTTTCATTTTTGTTTAGATTTTAGATGAAGTCTATCGAATTCTTCATTACATCAAAGTAACTCCAAAACTGGCTCGCCCCTATAAAGTAACGGATGAACTGTTCGATCTCTCAACAATGGCAATGGAGTATTTCAAGGACCACATTGAGCCAACTTTACCAGAAATAGCTTATTTTGGTTCAGACTTTCTAGATTTTTCCACTTCATTACCTGGTATGAAAACCTTTTGTTCTTATCTAGCCCATATTTTTACTTGAGTTAAGAAATTGGTGGTCACAGTCTCCGTTTTGTTTACATAGTAATGAAGGTGGATCCATTATGGCATCATTATTCCTGCGAAATCCGAAGTTCAGGATACTTACTGAAAACTAATTGTATTGTCTGCTGTTCTAGCAGAATTTTTCTCAGGCCTTAAGGTTGACCACTTTTTGCCGGATTTCTTTTTTCTGTAACCCTCAAAATTCTCCAAGAAATGGATGAAAAAAATGTCTATACCGACGTAGGTCATTGACATCTTTCCAAGATGATTGAAGTACAACCCCCTTCTTTTTTTTCTTGAATTTTTCTTTTTACTAATAATTTTCTTTGGTAAATTATTGCTTTTATCTAAGGAAGATGCTAATATGACGCCTAATAGAGTTTTTGGAAAAACATTTTTATAAATGGGTGGTATCTTGCGAAAAGGAACCATGAGCATTCCATTGTTGCTAAGATTGTGCAGCCCACGGTCTTTGTAATTTAATTACTGCAATCATGCAAAAACGTAAATTTACTAAGGTAATTTCTGTCATGAATTTGTAGTACATCGGGAATAAAGATGAAACTCGTTTACAAGATCAGTTAATATTTGCAAGGTAAAAAGAAGTTGCAAAATCTTATTGGAATTCCCTTTATTCCTTTTTGCGAAATGCAATCCTAATGTAATCACAATCTTTTTTCGAGGAGATCCAAAAACTGCTAACTTGGATTTTTAATACAGGGAGGAAACTGTGCAGGCGGTAGGAAATTCTAAATAGGTCTTGAAAAGTTTTTAATTTTCAATTCTTGAGGCTGCTTGAACCTTGAACTATCTTAGTTTTGAATACTACTTACATCCGTTCGTTCTCTCTTACAGCATCAGCAACCAACAAATATCTCTGTCTGGACAGTCCACCGCACATGGGAAGCGGGAAAGAGGATGGATCCTCTCCAGGGCACCAGAGCGGAGACGATAGAGACAGATCTACTCCCTCAATCCAGACACCGACGTACAGTATAGCGTTCCGGAGGCGTTTCCGTAAAATGAAGCAGAGCATGCGGAGGTAAATTATTTGAGATCTCTTTCAAGTCATGATCTTCCTTATTTTCATCCCTTCTTCAGAAAAGCGTAAAAGTTTGTTTGTGAAAAAATAATGTCTAATGCCGAGGTCTAACTGGATGGAGAAACTTGGGTAATTGAGGAGTCTTTCGATAAATCTTTCTGTCAAGTAGTCTATTTTCTTTTGGGTGACATTAAACAAAGGAAAAAATACAGGATGATTTTAGGATTGAGCTCATCGCCAAATAACAAATCCTGAAACAGTGTGCTGCATTTTTGGTGTGAATTCGAAAGTGGTAAACGGATTAGTACTGCTGTGCTAAAGAATAACGTTTTTGAACCCTCAGGTGTTGCCAAGTTTCCTTTGATGAAATATAAATTTTCAGGGAAACTTGTGGGTTTTCTTTGCATTTTTGTTCAGGATTTTCTTCAAAATTTGACTTAGGGTAACTAAAATTTTCAAGGAAAGATACTCATAACTTTCCTTAAAAATAAAAATTACGCAGTTCATACGACGTTTCTCCTTAGTACGACAGAATAAGATGCCTGCATTTTATTTTTGCAGAATAAATTTCTTAAACTGTAATGCTTTTTTCCCCCTTCTAGTCTGCATTTTTCCGTTGTTACACTTCTAATGCTCCAACATTTTCAACTTCTGTTTTTGTCTTTTAAGTCATCACTAGAGACTTATCCCTCAAAAGAACGGGAGTATCATTTCAATCTTGAAATTGATTTTTGAAAACTAAAGGCAATCTTAGTTTCCACCAATATTCTGACCACATTTTGCAATAAAGAACTGCAGTTTCTGGCTTATCCGTAAAAGCTCTTATGTGCTGAGGGAAACTGATGGTACATACTTTGTTTCTAAACTGAGCTAGAAATTGTAGTTCCTAATTGCAAAATGAAATCCGTTTATAATACCCTTCCGCAATGTTGTCTTTTTGGTATATAATGTTAATTTCCATTGGTGGACTTAATCTCATCCAAAGCCACTTTCTGCACTCTTTCATCCTTTGGCAGCCAAGGGTTCTCTCTGTGATAACTTAGCTTCCGTAGTTTTAATGAGGTAAGTTGTTAACAAGGAGTTTAATCTGCTTTATCAAAAGCAATAATGTTAAGCAGTGCCATACCATCCCAGTTTTGACAAGGCAACAGAATGATCTATCAGTCTCCTCTAAATTTACTGTTGGACTATTACTATGCCAAAAATCAGGAATCAGTGCTGAATGTTGCTCCTATTGACAACTTAGTCTTCGAGTTATCGCACAGAAACATCTGACATATCAGAAATGTCTGAAATCTGCTCCGTATCAGACAATTTGTTAACATTATTTTAAATTTTTGCTTTACTGTGTCCACTAGAACTTCTTCTTAGCCGATGTTTCTCTTAATTGCTTGAGAGAGATTTTAAATATTGTAACTTGCATATGTTGCTTTTTCATTTTCGCAACTTATGCAGGCACGTTTTTCTAACTACATACCATCCATCAGCTGTCCAGCAACTGAGAAAACAAGGAAATTCAGGGAGAGAAAAATGATTTTTCTTCGAAAACTTGTCATATCAGAAGAAATCTAAGATTTTTCTGTTGTACCCAGCACACAAATGGACTTCATTTTGCAATTAAGAACTACAATCCTAGCTCACATGTCAAAACAAGTTTGCACTTGAGGAAACTGATGGAATATACGTTGTTTCTCAACTGAAACAGAAACTGTAGCTATGAATCACAAAATGCAGTTCAAATATGTCAAATATTTTAGTTTTCATTGTCCATTATACAGGGTGATCCAAAAGTCCCTTCCACCCCCTCTAACTTTTTACCTAATTGAGGTAAAGATTTGAAACTTGGGGGATATTCCTAGGTCAAAGGGAGCTACTTTTTGGCCCCCCTAAAATTTTCAGGGGGGCCCCCCTTGGGGGGGCAACGGCCCCCAACTTTTAATTTTCAAATGGGAAGACCCCCTTTGTGATAGCTCGTTCGAAAGAGCATAAAAAAAGAAAACTTTTCGCGCAAACCCGAAGTCAATATCTCAAACCGTTTCAAAATGGCGGCCGGTTAAAGTTCAAAATGGCCGAAAATTCACACCGGTTATTTGTCGATGGATTTGCGCGAAAATCGGTATGTAGGGGTATTTTGACACGAGAAAAACGAATTTGACGTTAGATTTTCAAAAAAACCAAAATTTCCAAAATGGCCGCCGGTTAAAGTTTAAAATGGCCGAAAATTGTCACCTCGGTTTTTTGCTGATGGATTTGCCTTAAACTTGGAATTTGAGAGTATTTTGTCATAAGATAAACAAATTTGAACTTAGATTTCTAAAAAAATCAATTTTTGGTCATTTTGAACTTTGACCGGCGGCTATTTTGGAAATTTCGGTTTTTTCGAAAATCTAACGTCAAATTCGTTTTTCTCGTGTCAAAATACCCCTACATACCGATTTTCGCGCAAATCCATCGACAAATAACCGGTGTGAATTTTCGGCCATTTTGAACTTTAACCGGCCGCCATTTTGAAACGGTTTGAGATATTGACTTCGGGTTTGCGCGAAAAGTTTTCTTTTTTTATGCTCTTTCAAACGAGCTATCACAAAGGGGGTCTTCCCATTTGAAAATTAAAAGTTGGGGGCCGTTGCCCCCCCAAGGGGGGCCCCCCTGAAAATTTTAGGTGGGCCAAAAAGTAGCTCCCTTTGACCTAGGAATATCCCCCAAGTTTCAAATCTTTACCTCAATTAGGTAAAAAGTTAGAGGGGGTGGAAGGGACTTTTGGATCACCCTGTATGTCATGTGTGAATGGTCCATCATCATAATCATGTCTCTTCATAAGAAATTGGTCCTGTTTTACTTTAATTCTACTAAGTTGTCAAAGACAGCCCCAAAAACTTCACCTCTCAAATTATGTTGATTTTTACCAAAGTGTGAGCATGATCAAGGCCTCTCCATTACCAAAAACCTCTCAATTGCTCTTCATGCGAGATTAAAGCTCTATTTCTAATATATTATTGAATTTTGCAGGTATAGCTCTCAGCTTAGTGTTCTTCGACGAGATGTTAAACAATATAAAAACAAGATTAGCGAGCAGCAACGTACAATCGTGGATCATGGCAATCGCTTAGAAGAAAATGACAAGAAAAACGAAGAAATAATGGCTAAATTTGGAATCATCATTCAGGTAACCAGCTCAGCTTCTTGAATTCCATCTTCAAAATTCATTCTAATTTATGGCAGCCATTTTTTTAGTCGGTGAAATATTTTCTTCTGCAAGGCTGTTTCTAATGAACCGAAAGTAACGAAAACTAAACGAAACGAAACAAACAAAAAATCTAGGTAACAAACTGTGAGCTAAATAATGAAATAGAGAAGGCCGAAACTAAAAAATTCAAACTCACAAAAATGTATAAAAATTGCCGATGCGTTTCGGGGTTTTTTGGCCCCTTCTTCGTGGCCAAATTTTGACCGTTTTAATTTATTTTTGTGAGTTTGAGTTTCTTAGTTTTGGCTTTCTTTATTTCAAGGCGCAATTGTTGCGCAAATTATAGCGCAAATTTTTTAATGCAAAAAGGGAGAAAAATCTGATCATCGGACAACCAATCTAAAGATGACGGTCAAGTTCACATAGCAAAACAATGCTTGAAGAAGAGTCAAGCCAATCAACAAACACTGTTTCCCTCTCCTGGGTATGTCATCAGCGCCCGGCAAAAATATCATTTTAAACGGGCCCCATTTTTGGCATTTCCAGTACGAAGTCTCTTTGCCATGAAGTTTTAAAAAAATCTGAAAAATTCCTAGAAGCTTAGTTCACTTAATATATGAGTGCCCCTGATTCATAACCTTTATGTTCAAAGGAAAAAAGAAATGTATAACGTACCTATTTTGATGCGCATCTTGTTCTCTCTGTTCTTACCTGAGGAAATATTCTAGGATTTAGAATGAATAATTACGTAGTAGTATGAATAATTACTTTAGTGTGGAGCAAGTAACTTTTTTTCATTTAATAATCATTATTTTCTTCCATCCAGGAGTTGAACAAGTGCAAGACGGAGTTGCAGTATTGGAGGTCCAAATCCCCTCTCAATCCTTTAATGTGCGTATCTTGTGGAAAGCCAGGCACTTCGGGGTCACCTGATGAGCCGCAAGGACAGGCAAATCCGGTAAATTTTTTCTTTTAATGATTGCAGAAAATAATGATAAAATCACTGATTACTTTGCTGCTTTGACCATTCTGTTCTCTTCTCATTGATTTTACTTAAAGCTGCGGTATCAATTTGTCTACGATTTTGCCATGGATTTTTGGTAAAGAGCCAAGAACCAACATTTTCCAAAATAAGAAGCCCCTGCTTAATTTTCTACATCATGTTTGAGCAGCATTGCCAGGTTTAAGCACCTTAACAAGCCATGGGTAGTTGTATTGGAGTTCTTAGGAAAGGAAGTGATCTGATATGGATGGATAACCAGTTTTCAAGGTATCTTTTTCTTAATTTTTCATGATGGCGAAGGTTTGACCTGTTAAGATTATTGTTTAGAAGAAATATCAAGGAAATTTTTACTTGCTGTAACTATTTTTTCTTGGAATTCTCTTCTACAAATAGAAGGAAGTTCCAAAAAGACTCCATCAGATTCCTTAGTAGTGTTCTATAACTTCACTGTGCACGTCATGAGGGTCTTTCTTGCTTTAAAGATGTCTTTGTATATGGACAGAAGCCTCTCCAGGAAACTATCCTATAAAATCTCACTGAAATTCCAGTTCTCGTTTACAGCTCATTACTTTCCCAGGAAACTTTGATCCCTGCGCCAAAGACATAAAGACAGAGTGCTCGTATCTAAAAGCACGGGGAAAAAGTGAAGCTAGGTTCGGCGCTGCGCGTTTGTGTGAGTGTGTAAATGAGCGCGGGAATCCATGGCGGCAAACGGAAATTTGATTTGAACTTGTCCTCTTGATTTTTCCTTATTTCTTCTTCGAAACGTGTTTTAAATGCTTTAAACGATTATATTAAGAAAGTTCGGTCTGCGTCCTAATATATTACACCTACTTTTGCTCGGTAACAGGCAGTAATCTCAGATAAAGTTAGTTTTTCTTCTGCTTATGGTGGTTCTGCAGGTTCAAACAGGCCGTTACAGTTCTAGATCTACGTTACTCCCAAATGAAATCAGTCGGTCGACGACGGACCGAAACTAACCTAAAGTTAATAAAATATGAGTGTGTACCTGAATTTGGGCAAAAATCAACCTATAATACTTTGTTTCCGCAATTTTATTTATTAGTTCCCGCCCTACATTTGAATTCAAACTTGTCCCGATTTCGCCGCCAATCCTCTAGCCAATAGTAGAGGTGATTGAAAAGAAGCTCTAGAAGCTTCATTTTTTGCTTTTAGTGCTCCGTCTTTATGTCCTTGCCCTGCGCCCACGGTGGAAGTACATAACCTTAAAATTGCAACCTCAAGGTAGATAAATGAATGTGGGTCAAAGGATACTTGTCTGTCAACTCTTCCTCATCAAGGAATCTGTCGCTATGATTTTCTTTCAATTTGAAATGGGGTTAGATTTTTGGTGACTGAAATTTCTCTTTAGCTAAAATTTGACTCAATGGAAAACCCAAAAATGCAGGCATTTTTATTTTTTAAGTATGCCCTGAAAAAGAATTTTAACAGACATTCATACCACAGCCCTCCAATGTAATGAAATGACAGTGCCTTTAGTGTCATGTAAGAGTTAAAAGGTAGCCTGGAAATTTTTTAATACATTGTAAAGCCAAGACAAAAGGAGACATGTTTTATTTTTGCTTTAGTGTTATAAGAGTAATTGATCCTTTCTCTCTCTTTTTTTTTTCTCTTGTTCTTTTTAACTTCGTCACTGAATGATGTGCATTATTTTTGGGTTACATCACTAATCCATTGCAAATTATTCAATTTTCAGAACGCAATGCTTGCTTTAGAAGGCTTTGGCAACTTCGACCTGATGAATGGTCTAGAGCTGTTCAACAACCCGATGACTGCAAGCGTAGCCCCAGTTGCAGGCCCAAGCGGTGAAGAAATGGGTGGAGCATCTCAGTGGCAGGGACCAAGCGACCCGCCCCCTGCTCCGTCAACTTCCACACGGTCCGCAGCAATAGGCGTCAAACGCAAGTCTACCTCTAGTGACAACAAGCAGACCCCGCTCACCTACAAGAAATCTAGAAATGCTGTGAAGCTGCGCAGCAAGAGAATCTAAAGCGGACGGATTATCTTTCGACTAGAGCAGTAATAAGCAGGCAGTTTCACACGTAACCGATGTGAGGAAGCTTCCATCAGAAAATTTAGTTTTCTCTTTATGAACAGGCTGATTTCAATCTTTATGACATTATCTGGAGATTGTCGGTAAAGAATGGTCACATATTAGAAACTAGTTGTGCGTTTGTACACTAAGTGATTTTGAGGTAAACTTTTGTAGATTGTGTGTTTACTGCCTGGCTAATTTACAGTAGCTCTTAAGCAGCTATCTTTACCTGATCTTGTGTCCACCGCAACCGTACATCATGATCATCTGTACTTGGCTCGTCAAGTTTTGTACTCATCATCAAAATTGATGACTGAGGGCTGTATTCATTCATAGTCCTCATTTGGTTTGTATTGTGCTTATATTGAGTTTAAGGAAGGCCTCAAAATAGTATTAACCAAAGGACAATTTTCAGTACAATTCAGCCCGATAACTTTCTAAATGGGTCCTTAAAAATGTTTAAAATGATTTACCTCTCAGAAAAATACATAATGCGAAGGTAAATGAATTCCAAGTTTTGTAAATTTTAAGGTTGGTTGGTACCTTACCCTTAAGTTTCTCAAAATAATGAAGTTTTTTTTCTTTCATATTTCGTACTCTTGGCGGTGACAAATCATTGTGATCCCTTGCAAAGACCTATTTCTAAAGTTAAACTGCTGAATCTTATTTGAAGTTGGCAAAATTGTCCTTTTTATGACTATTTTGAGGGCCTCTTTGAATCTCCTATAATCATAATATAAACCCTCATGGGGCCCACTAGTGAAAGGAGCTGTTTAAGGAATGACTATAAATACGACCTTGAGCCCTTAATGTTTTTACTTCACTTTCTATGCTTGAATTAGAATGAATGCTTTCTTAAATAATTTCTATTCACTGAATATTTCATGCCAAAAGAGTTAATTCGGGAGGATTTTGATTCTGCTTGACATTATCCGTCAAAAAATTTGAGTAAGATGTTGAATACGTTGGTTGCACTTGTTTCAAATTCTCGATTTAATAATTAAATCATAAAATCTATGTCGCAAATCAACAGAGAAGATGATGTTTCCAAGAAAACTTTTATATATTTACTTTCACACACTTACATCAATGTTTAAACATATCTACTTCAGTCAAATGGATGGCAGTATTGACTGAGGTCTTCAGAAGTCACCATTTCAGTTAATTTCGATCCAGGATTTTGATTTTTGATCAGTGTGATTATTTTTAGCAATCTTTAAGTATTTATGATTAAGACATTGTTCTTAAATAGATGCAGCCGGCCCCAGTAGCCTATTTTCCATGGTTTTGGTAACTTAGTTTCCAAGTCAAGAATTTTAAGAGGTCTCTTCCCTTCATCTTAAGGCGGGCGTAGATTCCGCTTTCCTTTTATTATCGGATGCATTCGCGTAAGAAGTATGTTTCGCAGTAGTGCTTTTCTTTTAAGTCTGTAGACACATCAGAGTTCGGCAACTGCATCATGGAATATTCCCATAACTTTTGAACGATAAAGTTTTGACAAGGTGCTACTACGTCTTTGTCTTTTGAAAGAAGAAAAACGATCAAATGATCAATCTTCAGGGCTCAAAGAAGTTCAGTTCTATGGCAAAGTTACCATCTTGAAAGGAAGGTTATTTTTTTATGTAAAATCAATTTTTTTTAGCGTTCCAATCCAACCCTAAATTTCATCATGGCTTACAAGTACAGTCTATCTGAAAATCTTATTTATTTTTGTTTGAAAATTTAATCTATGATAACTAAACTTGACTGAAGTACTTTTTCCAAACTTTACTGGGCGCAGGACTAATGCAGGTATCTTTAAATTAATTTAAGGACCTGAAATATCTCTCAAAATTGTAAACAAATTTTAGACAAGAATTAAAGTTCTCGCTTCTGTTCATCAGATTCGATTAAAATCCCTAGCAGTTGAATAAGCCCATTTCCACTCATTCTTTCTGATCTCACCAACCAGGTCATGCAAGTTGCCTTTTTTTGTTGACATCATGTTGTGTGCTCATCATGAAGTAAATATTGCACCCTTTTTTTAGAAAATAGGTGCATCTATGAGATTTACTTTTGGTCAAAGCCTTTCTGATAATTCGTCTGTAAACTCAAGGCATAATCAAAGTCAAGTTCACTTAGTTGACCGTGCTAACAAGTTGTCGTATGTACCAGATGACGTTCGGTGGGTTACTTGATCGTGTAAAAATAGCCCAGAGGTTGAAGGTGGTCCAGTGTTTGTCGATCGCTTCCGTTCTAAACTGTCTGCGCACAAAATAGTCGATACACTAAAGCCGTGTGTCGAGACGGGTGAAATCAACGATGGCGACTTGATTAGAATTGTCGTGGACACTGTTCAAATTTAGCTTATTTGTTTCAATTTCACTCGTGTAATTATGATTAACCTAGCGTCATTTTCCCTTTTTGTATCATTACTAGACTGTATGTATTATTTTTTTGTGTAAGAATCAATTTTTAATCCAATACTGATAAGAAACTGAGAAACAATTTATTTATTTATAGGTTCAAATTGATTTATTCTGTATCATGTAAATATGTAGGAAAATATTTCAGAATTTTCAAAATATCCTACGAGTGATTCGAATTTTTCTCGAAAATTTCGGAGGAAAGGTACTTTTGTGTTAACTTACCTGACCATTTTCCAAATACTCCAAAATTTTACCCTTTAAGTTCTTTTTCGAACTAGAAATTTAGACTTTTTATCTGTTCAATATTTATTTTTAGCTATTTATTTATTTATTTATTTATTTTTGTTTCCTAAATTACTTGATTTAAATTTCCAGAATGCGTACCACTTGAAAACTCATTTCGCGTCGAGGAAATCATGTAAACTTTTTTCTTCTCAAGATTGCGCGGAGATTGTAATTTGCAAAGCAATATTGCACCTCCTGACTTTCAAACTGATTTCCTAGATTAATTTCATACACTCACAACTACTTATGCCAAAGTATCTGGGATCACAGCCCAGAAGTCAATTCGTCAAGAAACACAGCAACTCAAAAATCGTATGTTTTCTGACTCTAATTTTCTCTTTTCTTCCCCTAGGAATTTCATTTTCTCATAATAAACTATTTTGCCTCCTGAATAAATTTGTTATTTTTACTCTTGCAACTAATCCACTCACTAAGAATACAAACCAATGACAAAAGGTACTGTCACAGTTAAAAATATGAGTGCTATCATTCCATCACAACTCAATCATAAAAAAGCTTAGGAGGTTCTGAACAACTTCAAAAAACTTTGTTTCAAAAGTTTTTATTTCTGTTGACTTTTTAGAACTTGTAAAATGTGTAAAATAAAATCTCAGACGCATGAGGTTGAAAATAAGTGGCGCCTCTTGTCGGTGAAAACAAGACCCACTCCTTCAGACGGCAACTTTTCTCTTTTAAATTAAATAGGCTGCGCTTTTTAAAAGGTAATTGCTGTTAAATTTAAATGCATTCGCTGTACCTGATTTTCCTTTGTATTGATCACAAAGTTATTTTAATCTTACTCAATTTGCCTATCAAATACTTTAGAGATTGTAGAGGAATTTCAGCAGGTAGTGGCTAGTTTGAGATTTGTCGCAGTCAAAACTTGTTTCTGATTTCTTGCTATTTTTCGGTACTTATGCCCCAAAGACTGGAAATAATCAATGATACAAAGTAGATATTATAATTTTCTACTAATATTTAATAAATTAGTCAATGCAAAAATGAGTTCAAATTCATCCTGTTTATTTGATTCTACAAAAGAATATTTTGTACTACTTTTCAGCTGCATGTAAGGTTTCAGGTGTGAAATTTTCAAACTCTCATGAGCCTCAAGTTTAACCTAAATCCACAAAAAACCTAACAGATAATAATTCTGTCAATTAGAATCAATACTTCTAAAAATGTTCCAACTTGTATTCCTAATATCTATATTTTTCCTGATAATGATCACCTCAACACAAATATTCCTAATAACGGTTGTAAGATAAAAATTTGGCTCTCTAGATTGTTCCAGTTGAAATGAATAGCATCGACCAAAGTAGTCACACATTACATCAAGAGTTTTAAATGAAGATGAATGTGCTTTAGTGTAGGACTGGTAGTATATGGTAGATAAGGACTCTAACGGAACTACAAAAATCCACACCCAGCTACACTTTAATTTTGAGGAGTCCCAAAAGTCGTTTTCTGTGACCTAAAAACAAAAAAATATCATGGCTCAGTTTTTTTCTTCAAAAGTTACAGGGGTGTCCTAAAGTTGGTGGTAGAAGATTTTTGGATCACTTTGCATAACTAGCCAGCAATGTTTTTATTACACTTGCCATACCTGTTGACATTATCCTCTGCGTCAATGCAAACTCTAGTTTATCTTACCTTGATGTCATCCATCCATAGATGAATACAATTTTTGCTAGTTGCTTCAAGCCCTATAATCTGTCTAACCAAGTTGAAAAAACTATGAACAACCCAGGTAGAAAAAAATCAATCCTCGTGCTTTTCAGTGATCGATAGTTTTGCGAGTTTCAAATAGAAACTTTGCATTCGGAATGATCTGATTATATTTTGCTACTTTGTGGGCAACAGCCCCTATAGCATGTTTCTGCTACACAGGCACTGACCTATCATATTTTAAGCAGAAGAGATTTAAATACATTTCTAAACCCATACATTGCTTTTTAGATTTCAGTAGATGTGTTCAGTGTCTTGCTTTTGATCACGTTTGACGATTCAGTTGTCTAATATATTGGTTGCGTTGCTTCACAACATGATGCTTAGATTTCTAAGTTAGTTGTAAGTAGTCTAATTTTTACAAAATTGAAAATAAATTTCTTTCCAATTTGAAACTGACAGTTTTTCTTTTCGTGTGTTTTATTCTCCGTCTCATCATTAAGGAACGAAGAAGAGCTGTTATGTACATTATTGCAACAATTTTTTTTCTCCTAACCTCCGCACGGTATCTACATCACAAACAGTGTTTAAATGTAATGTTGAAACTCGATCGAGACTCTGTTGCCTCAACTGCGGACCTTCCTAAATTTTTATGTGAAACGAACAAACATAATTTTGCGTAGAATTTTCAGTTGAGTTATGATGAGGACTAAGAAAAATAAAACAAAATGTTGAAATATGACAAACGGTTTTTTTCCCCCCATAAATTAGAATGGGCCAAGAAATGTGCAAGGTAGAAAACCAAAATACAGAAGGGTTGTGTCCTCTCTACCGTTAAATGCACACCTCTCCTATTAATTGTTTGTAGAAATTTTTGAGAAAACTGTCAAGTGAAAAAAAAAAAGAAAAAAGGTCAATACTTTTACTTGAATAACAACATATTCTTACTTTAGAATATTTTTCTCCCCATCTTATCAGCATAAGTGAAATTTTGGCGAGTGACGCCTTAAGCTGATCGAATGCAGAGCAGTTATGAAAGTTGCGGCATACCATCATAAGTTGGCTCTTATCATAGAGGCATGACAAATATATTTTCTTTTTTGGTGGAAAAGACGAAAGAGGGGAGGAAAGAACAAATTTTCCAAAAAAAGAATTTGCAAAAAGTAAATCACCATGAAATTCCCACTGGTTGATTTTATTCCAGTAAGTACCTAATCATGTGAAAAATTGCCCATGTTTTGGTGTTTCAGGTTCCAAAATTGATGCATGCCAATCGAAAAATAGCTCATGGTTAAAACACTGAAAACTCCCTCATATTTGTGGATAAGCTTTTATCAAATGCTTACCTACCTATCTGTTTTGTGTGGAGCTTTCTAAAATTACCGAAAAAAAGTACCTACAAAAAAATAAGAAATTGGAAAAATAAACAGAAGTAAGCAAGAAAGTAAACAATTCCTGTGTCAAATATGTGAAAATTATTTTTGGGTGATTTCATGATTAAAAAAATTATGGAAGGACCTACATTTGAAAAACGGAAATTTTGAATCCTTTTTAATAATAACAGTCAAATTTCCGAGATAAACCACCATTCAGGAAATGAACGGAAATCGGTCATATTTGTAATAAAAAGGGGGAAAAATGAATTAGCCTCCCCCCCCCCCCCCCCCCCCCCCNGCTCTAAAAAAAATCCTTGTGAAGGCATTGAATACCAACGGTATCACTTTTGGGACAAAGATTCTCAAAAGTAGGTCATTGAACCTCTGAACAAACAAAACAAAAACAATCGGACAAGGAAGAAAATACGCACACACACACACACACATGGGTCAAGCGCGGGTTTTTCGCGACTTAACAGCGTAAAAATCATGCATGGAGAAAAATAAAACGCGGTGCTCAGATTGAGGAAGCTTTTAATCACACTAATAAAACAATTTAAGAGTCCGAAACATCCCGAAAGTGGGAGAATTGTGTCTCAAAAGCTCGCTCGCTCCTGTGACCTTGAGGGCCTGGCGAATGTCGTCACATTTTATTAGCTCTGCAGTCACGCGGCCATGAGTCACCTCGTTGTTGTCAAATTGAGCCATTAGAACATTCCAGAAGTCCAATTATGAGATGATAAAACTTCGCACGCAATTATCCTCTTATCAGCCTCCATTTCGCTCATTAACAGTATTATGCAGCACCTTATCAGGCGCAAAAATAGCGTGATAATATCCGAAAAGTGAATGTGTCCATTGTTCTACCCCCACCAAGCCCTCAATACGGGGATGAGTCATCCCTGTGAATGAACCCGTACGCCATTCAGAAGTGGCAACTCCGCTTGCTGTGTTATAAATGGTTCAGTAGTTTCCTATGGGGGCCCTCTATTGGGTTAAAATGACGTCAGGCAGTCACGTGGACCAATCGCAGCGTCGCTTTCATCGCGCGACGAAGTAGCCTTCGGAAACGTAACAGCTTACACACACAAACAATAGTCTTTGTTAGAACGTCTGGAAAGCATGTGTACTCCGTGAAAGTGCGTTTTCTTGAGCATAATAATCTGATTTAACGCGAGCGATTAATATTGTTAACACGTGCTATCTGTGGTAAATTTATCGTGTTGTGATCTGCAGGGATCGAATCCCTTTGAATCGTTCTTGGCTCTGCAAAATCGAGGATTATTTCATCATCCCGCCCAGCGCTGAGCGAGTTCCAGGAATCTTCTGTGGTGAGTTTCACTTTGTTTTGGTGCTGCGAGCATGTTCAAACCTGTCAGAACCTGCTCCGTCTAGTTCACTGACTCAGTGATTCTGTACGTTGTTCGACGTTTCTGTGCGTTTTCCGTCCTGTGTTCACGTTTTTCGGTGTTTAGCTTCGCGATTTTACTCTGATCTTTGGATAATTTACGAGAACGTAGTTTGCCCAGTACCTTGTGGAATGTAAACTCACATGGCTCCATCCTGTAAGTACATACCTACGCATATCATAAGCTATCTCATCTGTCAGATCGCGTTCCATTCGAGCGGAGTTCAATCGTCGACATCGGCAGAAGTCGAATTCGAAAAAAGGGCAGTCGTCGACTCGAAGCGAACGGGTCGAATGGTTCCGCGAACTGCCGCGAATGTCATGAGGGTCAGTCCATTGTAACGGGCCGGACAACCGCACGCCTTTGAGTAATAAAGAAATGAATTTAAAATCACATAAATTTAAAATAAATTGTACCAGTAGATAGAGCTCAGTGTGTTATTTCCAAAAGTGTACGAACTTACTTTTTTGTTTTAATTTTTAAGGGAGTTATACCAAAAATAGAGCCGTAACGGGACGGACAGTTTTTGGAAGTGAGTTTTGACTCCCTTGAGAAAATTGAATAACTCAGCGAATTTTACCATGTAAAAAATCCACAAAAAATGTATATAGTCCTCAAGGGTTCAAGGTACTATGCTATTTAAACTAATTTTCATAAGTATTGAATTAAGCATAAAAAAAAATTGAAAAATCTGCGTAACGGGACGGACAGCATTTGTAACGGGCCGGACAGAGTACGACTGACACATGGTTTTACGGCTGAAAGTCATCTGTATATGATCATACATTGGTCCAATTTTTTCTATGCATTAATTTAAGGTTCTGACTGATTAATTTAGATAGATAAAATGCAATTTTTTGTTGATTTTAATTTTTTGCAGCTTGTAGAAGTAGTAGCAAATTCTACATACCTATTGATTTTTTACTCTTTTCCCGAAATTTCAATTATTTTGATTAATTTTCAACTCACAACACTCAATCCTTTAGTTATTAATACGATTTTGTTAACTTGGAAACAAAATTATGAGCATAATAGTCAAAATAACACTCGTAACGGGTCGGACACTTTTCTCTAAAATCAATAACTTGAACTGTTACTCGCTTAAGAGCGACAGTTCATTAATGCAGTTACTTAAATTTTGAACGCTATCATTATAGGAGTCAGAACCTACTTTTTTCCTTTACTTAGTAGTTATTCTTTTTTTGTTTTTAAATATATAAAGCAAAATAAAATGAACTCTTTATCCCCTGGAAGCCGAACGCTTTCTTTTCTCCGAGTTTCTTTGATAACAGTTCCAGCTCCCCATCCACCTGCACATAAATTTTATTACTTATTAGGATATGAAAATGATTTTAAAACAGTTAAGATTTCTTTTAAATCAAAATTTGAACTTTATTAATGTTTTACTGGCAGAAACATCAAAGAATATAATAATAAAGAAACAAAAGCTCGAGGAAAAATAAATAGTAACTAGTACCAAAAATAATAATAATAATAATAGTAATACTTCAATGGCACGGTGTGAGTATCAAATAAATGAGAAGTTATACTATGTCTAAACAAATATAGGAATAAATGGAGTGGGCGGAACAGAAAAACTTGAGTGTTTTTAAATTTTGTTTCCAAACGTAAACGGTGGATTCAAAAGTTTTAAAACTTTTTAGTGGTTGTCGCTTGAATAAAATTGTCAATATAAATAGTGAAAATTGTGAACAGAGGTTGAAATTTTATCTTAAACGTAGTAGACAAATAACTAAAAAAAAGAATTGCATTTAAGGCAATAAAAAACAAAACAAAAAAATGAAAAAAAATTTTCTGTTCTGCTCTTTTGCGGCGCTTCCGTTCTGCGTCTTTCTTCTTAACAGCCTCCGCATCTGATGGATGATTTTTTAAATATTCTCTTCTTCGCTGTTTCCTAATCTTGTCTCTCAGCCTTTCTTTAGCCAGGTGGGCTTTATAGGCAGCTGGGTCCTCTTTCAATTTTCTGCGGTGCTTCTGCATCCGGTTTGCAAAAATTTCCATTTTTTAAAACCTGAAACAACAAAATTGCTTTAAAATCCAAGAAAGTGAACATTTTGAGGTTTTTAAGTACCTCCTAGGTCTAATAAGGTTCTTCTGATGTTTCTAATACAGCCCTTTCACAATCCTGAAAATTAGAACCCACTGTGCCCATAAATAGCGAAGTTCAATACTTGTCCGGCCCGTTACGTAACGGGACGGACACATTTTAAGTATGTTGTTTTCAACATCTCACAAGGTATAAAAATTGAAAAAAAAATTGAGGAGAACCTGAGTTATCAGAACAAAGTGAATCCAAAAATTCGCATTTAAATATGCAAAAATAAGCAAACAAATAAAAGAAAACCATCTTTTTGCGTAACGGGCCGGACATTTGATGAACCCAACTTCAAAGTAGTAAAACTCGTAAGTACTTACTTTTAGAAATCCAACTTTTGCGAGCACGTATTTGTTGTCATGTTTTTTGTGAGATCAAAATATAACTTCAAATAGTTGTGAGCCAGGAACAGTAAAAAAGTGCTGCCAACTTTCACCTTTTCCAGACCTAAAATACACTGTACAGCACCAAGTCATAAAACAAACAAAAACACACAAAATAAACAAAAAAAAATCGCGAAACCCGTATATTTTCGGAAACTAGAAGTTATTTGCCGTTCAAAAATGTATTCAAAAAGAAGTTTCACTGTATTTCAATTTTAGACCCTCAGGTTGACCTTACCATGGACCGACCCATGAACATTCGCCGGGGCGAGTTCGGACGAGTTTGTTATTGTTTCTCATTAAACTAACCCCTTTTGACTTTGAGGACATTAGTAATAGTAATAGTACATCTACCTATTTAATAGTCAAGAATGTCTAATATTTTTCACTGAATAAATTTTCGCATGTCGTCGGATAAATTATTTTTTTGGCAGTGTGTCTGTTTAGTATGTAGTAATTTCTTGCCTAGCCACTGCTGTTCATTGTCGGAACGGTGGGAAGTTAATCGAAGCTGTTCAATCCGGAAGTGTTTTTGAGTCAGTTTAAATTAATTAATTAATTTCTTTTTCAGTCTGAGCCCTAATTGAGTGGACATTCTACGACTTTCGCGTAGGTAGGTGGAAAAATCCACTTTTTGAGGAAAAAGTAGTCTTTCAGCAGTTCATAGATTATCTCCACTCGCTACCACGCCAAAGGAGCATATCATTGCGTCTGATCATTGAAGGTTTCTTGAGAACCAAGTTGATAAAAATGCAGATGAAACTGTAGCTTTTCTTGTTCTTGAAAAACTTTAATGGCAGATTTTCTTATACAGCGAGGGAAACGTCTCTGCTCCATGGTCATAGTCGCCATGACTGAAGATTTCTTCGATGGTAAAGTTCCTTATCACCTTTAATACGCTTTAATATCACAGGTCTTTACATCTACCTCATTGTAAGTTGCTTTCAAGCCTCTACTTTGACAACTTTATCCTTGACGTGGAAGCCAACGTTTTGTTACCCACAGGAGTTACTTGGAAATAAATACATTCATGTAGGATACCTAGAATTTACTATTGACACAGTTTCCTTTGCTTCAATCTGCTTTTGCGCAGTTCCTCATACTGTAACGTGACAAGACTGAGTCATAGAAGGGTGCCTCGGCTCCCTACTAAAGAGAGACAGGGTGCTGAAAACACGAACACAAAAAGATAAGAGGATGAAACACTAAGTATACTTGACTGCAAAAGTGAAAGAGCCGGCTGAGGCCCAGCCTCAAAGAAGTACAACTGGAACTTCTCACACTAGTCCTAATCGGAACATTTTAATTCAAACATGGAAAAAGTTATGACATAGGTACCTATCGAGCATTCTTTTTGCACATCGCGGTAGGACATGATACTTTCAAAGACGAGAAAAATCAAGTTTATTTTCCATGAAATTAAAAAAAAAATTAGGCATTTTCACCGCGACTTGTTTCTGAAAACACAGAAATGAGACATTGATTTTTACACGCAACTTCATAAGAGTTTTTCACTTTCATTGAAGAAATTTGAAGTTCATTTTATAAATCCTTCCATTTTAAGGGGATGCATAATGAAGGTGACATCACTTAACCACAATCCTATCTGCAGTTGCATCATTTCAGATGTTCTTAAATGTTTTACTATTTTGAAGCATAACGGATCAGTACATGAAGAAAAATTGCATGTAATGCACCGATTCTGAGATGCTATCAATCCATATTCCTTGCACAATGGAAATTTTTCTAGGTTCACCATTGATGTGTATGTCTAATCACATTAAAAGATAAAAATAAATAAAAAAAGCCACTTAGCGCCCCAGCTGGGTCTTATTAGAAAAGATATTAAAAAAACTTAAATTCCCTCCAAGTATCAGAATGGAAAAATCCTGAAGACCTCTCTCTTCAAATCATGGTGCAAAATTAAGAGGAGAACGTTTCTCCAAAGTTCATTTTCAATTAAGTCTATTATTGGACATAGCCTTTCTCTTATGAAGAAAAGGAAGACATTAATACGCTAGGCTTTTATTGCTCATCAGTCGAGGTCAAATTAAAAATCGAGACCTGTTTACTTAGGTATCTACTTTAAGGGTCAGAAACGAAGCATAAATTTAGTTTAATTTACAACCATTGATGGAATTTCCTGATCCATTATGGCTCTCGTTCTGCTAAGAGAGCTACTTAAACTTAGAGGTCTTTAGTGTCGTCCACGGCGAAGACAAGCAGCCTATACATAATGCTCCATTTGCAACAAACGATAAAATGAATATTGAATAGTAAAATATAATGCACAATGGTGAACTAGGTTCGATTGGTTCGGTGCGTTCGGGCATCGACGTATGACCGTTCGCGAATCGACCTCTGACCGTTCGCCACGAATCGACCATTGCCGATGTCGACCTTTGCTACTCGTTCGTTCCATTCGTGACAATTCTACGGTCGTGATTCTAAATCCTAAATCGCACATTGATTACTTCGGATCCGCAGGCATTGAAGCAATGTGTTTTTGATGCGCCTACTTAATGGTTCCTTAAACACTGCTGACATATCCTTAATCTGAAACGTGATTCTAGTTTCTTTGTTAATTTATTTATATCAAATGACAATGCTTCATTATTACTTAGGGAGATCACTCAGTATTCTCATGATTTTCACATTCGTGTTATGGCAAAGGACAAGTATTCCTCGTTGCAGACAGTTAATGTTAGGAACTGAAAGCCTGAGTTTTGAGTAACGTAGTTGTTTTCGTATTAGGTTGTGTCAAGGCTGTCATGACATTACTTATCTGGTTTGTCATTCATTGATGAAGCATTTTGTCGGACCTTTGATTGTTAGTGGATGTCAAAATTATTTTTAGGTTTTCTGTAACCAATCCCACATCGTCTGTATCATTTCGTAAAGAAGATGAGTCGCACTTCAATCTGCACCTTTAGAAATCCTTTTGAAAGTCTTCGTTGTTTACAACTGTCTTCGGCATCTCCACTTCAATATAATATAGATCGAGGTTTTTCTTTCCTCCCCTTATTCCTTCTCTTACATCGTCAACTGAAAACGCTTCCTAATCCTTTTCAGTTAGCACAATTTTAAGACCTTTCACATATTAAATCAAGCTGAATTTGGAAAATTAAAACCCCCTCTCGTATCTTGCTCTGGCCATGCTGGTTTGAATCTCTCCTTGAAAGCTTTGATACGTTGTAGCTTGTAAACCTCTTTTACCTATCTGTCCAAAACCATAAAGGCCATTGAAAGGTTTTTCCTAAATCAGATTTTCAAGATAGATTGTGTGTCAGATTAGTGTTAGACTCCCTCTCTCTGTCATGCTTGATTAGACCACCCCTTCTCCTTGCTTTCTTAATTGGACCCCTCTCTAATGCGAGACGCATGCAGTAAAGCTGCAAAAATCACGCGTTCTAAACAACAATTTAAATAAAATCCTGTGTTTTACACTATTTTGTAAGTGTAGGGAAACTATTTTTTGTTTGATTTTGGTATTAGTCCGCAACTGCAGCCCAATTTACCCTAGCTTTCATGCAGCCACACGGAGAGGGTTTGGAATTAGTTTCCACACCCCTGTGTTGCTGTGAACCCGTCAACTGGAAAGTGAAATTCATCCTCATTCTACCTGAGAAAATCTCAAGGCTGTAACTTGAGGCTCGAGGTCTAAATCTTATTTTGATAGGTATGCACCAAGTTTGTCCCAAGAAATGATGAGTTTTCCGTCTCAGCATTATCCAGCTTATATAATCATGCAATTATAAGTAGTAATAGTAGCATAATTACAAGTAGTAATTACGTGTCTCCAAGAGAATACCTATGCTTTTAGCGGTCAAAGTTGTCTGAAGCGCTGAAAAATACATGGCATATTGTCTTACAGCAGATTAAAGGTAGTTCGATCGTTTAATTGAGAAAACCTACACATACCCTCTCACTGCAAGGAACACAGCTCCATGTTCTACATAAGTACTAGCTTTGATAAGCTGGGTTGCTGATGATGTGAAAAGGGAAAGAGCTGGTCAAAGTTTTAGACATGTTCTTTATCTTCACTGATTGTCACATCCTGGGCCTGCGCTTTATTATTTTTAGAAACTAAGTAACACCAAAATATGGTGAAATTTTGTGCACTCTGGTCTTGAAGGGGATGGCAACTCAGCAAAGAGGCAAAAAGTTCATCATTTTTTCACTGTCGCCCTGGCATGGTTCACATCAGCCCCTTTTTTTCAAAATTGTCCAATTGTTTACTTCTTTCTTGCTGCTTGTCGTTTCCCTCACGAAAGAACGTAACTTCATGTCAATGTTGCTAAATTTCATCTCACCCTGGCATGGTTCAAATCAGCCCCTTTTTTTCAAAATTGTCCAATTGTTTACTTCTTTCTTGCTGCTTGTCGTTTCCCTCACGAAAGAACGTAACTTCATGTCAATGTTGCTAAATTTCATCTCACGCATTGCATTCTTACTCGGAGCACTGTGGGCATTTCCAACTGAAACTTTCCCTGACTCTTCTTCTAATCTCATGCTAAAATAAAAATGAAAGTTAGACGGAAATTTCCGAAGTACATTCTTGTTGAAAATTGATTTATTCTTGCAGGGTTGCCGGAGGTTTAGAAAATCGGAAAAGTCAGGGAATTTTGCAAGGTGCGTCAAGCAGTTGTGAGTGTAATTTGAAAGGGGAGAAATCAAATGAAAGATTTATTACAATGTCAGGGAATCCGAAAATTGAGTTAGGGAAAAGCTAAAATAGTCAGGGAATTTAATGATAAAGAAACTAGGGCAACCCTGCACCAATTTGGTAACCTTGGAATGAAGTTACATTTCCTCGTCCAAGAAACGACGAATTCGGTTAAAAACACGCGATTTTTTAGGGGGTGTTTCCATTTTTTTTTCACGCCATCGGCTGTCACGTCACGTAGTAGGAAAGATTTTGCATCCCTGACATTCCTTTCTCTTCACTGCAGGGTTGCCACAGTCAGGGAAATCCGGAAAATGTCAGGGAGCTTCAAGAAGTCAGGGAAAACTTGTCAAGTCATCAATATTCCCTTTCTAGAATGAGTTTGACGTTTCGAACAACAAATCTTGGCTGAAAAGTATTTCAGATCATGTCTTTTCAAGCATTTGGCATAACCTGAATGGTCAAGGAATTTTACAAAAATGTGACGAAGAAATCAGGGGAATGGCAGGAAATTAAATTTCACTCTCTGAATTCTGAGGCAACTCAGTCACACTGGAAAAAAAAACAACAACAACAACAACATTGGAACTAGAGTCCAGACTCTTGAAAACATTGACAAGAAAAAGTACTCTCGATTCAAGCAGATTTAAGCTTAAATCAAAAGGAAATCCGCTCAAATTAAGAGGCTTGGTTCTTGATTTAAGCTTACATCTGATTGAATCAAGAGTATTTTTTCTCGTCGATGTTTTTAAGAGTCTGGACTCGAGATCCAATGTGTCTTTTTTCCTGGTGCACTATTTTTTTTCGATTTTGACCGAGAAGAAGTGAGATTCTCCCTCAGGACGTAGGCACCCCAAATTCAACTACGCAGTCCGTTCCCCGATATTACGCCGGTCCCGCCCCCCGGGTTAGCACCTCCTCATCCCCCTCCCCTTACGTAACCGCTTTCCCGGTATCTCCCGAAAAATAAACCGCCGTTTGCATCAGCTCCGCCTCGCCGAATCCGCGAAAACGCTGGCCGCCGGCCCAACCTTTACGTAACCGACGGCTATTTCGCGGTGACCCCCTCCCCCCCGCCGCCCCCCGGGCCCCGGCTCTCCGTGCCGTTGCCCCCCCGGCCTCTGGCCCGCTGCCCGTCCGCGGCCTTGGCCGTTACGTAATTGCCCGTCCGCGAGTTCCGCGGAAACCGAGCTTTCCGAAACTCTGCGGACGTCCGTCGGTTGCCGACGTGCCTGCAAAACCGCGTATCTGCTCCTTGTTTCCAGGCGGAGATGAGCGGTTCTGCTCTGCGGGGCCGGTAGCGTTGCGACCTGCCGATCACGCGATCTGGCGATCGTGAGGGGTTCTGGGAAGGGATAGTTCTGCGAATTATGGACGTATTGTTTCGCTGGTGGTTTATTGTTGGGGTTGGTTCTAGCGCAATGGGTCACTACACAACTGCCGTGCTAAGGAAGAACGCCGTATGAACTCTTTGGTGTTGCCTAATTGCCTTTGATAAGACACGAATTTCCTGGTAAACTTATGGATATTTTTCTTCTAATTTTTTAGATAATTTTGTTCCCAATGTCACTCGAAGTTCCTGAAAATTTCAAGCTAAAATATTCATAAATTTCCTCAAAAATAAACATTTTAATGAAGGAAATTCGGCAACTCTCGAATGTTCATACGGCGTTCTTCCCTAGCACGGCAGACAAGGTCTGAAGTAGAGGAAAACTTCACCTGTTTCCTCTTCAAAATCTTACGTAGAAAACTATTCTCACGACGGAATTGTTTAAACCAACTCCTGGGTCAGATATCGATCAGTCTATAGATCAAATGGAAACTTGATTATACAAATGTCGTCAGTTGTATTTTTGCCGTTTAATCAATGTTAAAAAACACTCGCATCTTGTTCAAGAGCTGATTTTCAGCGAAAACCGGGGAATGTCAGGGAAAATTTGTTAAATCACCTTCATTTGCTTTCTAGAATTGGTTTGAGGTTTCGAACAACACATTTTGTCTGAAAACTATTTTCAATTATGCCTTTTTTAACCATCCGTCACATATTCAATCGTCAGGGAATTTCGCCTTGTGTCCGGGAAATCAGGGAAATGTCAGGGATTTTGAGTTTCTAAATTCTGTGGCAACCCTGATTTCAGACTTCCCGTTGTGTGGTTCGTCTTTAAGCAATGCCTTGTCTAGAAGTCCATTTCAGTTTTTCGATAAGTCAAAAGCACCTGCATGGGAAAGCACGGACATGTCTTTAATTTTGGAGGTTAGGTCATGGAGCTTTTAGGGCGCAAAAGGGCAGCCATCGCAGGAATTCGAATTATCCTGAGTGATTTGTTTTTACAGTCGTTAAGTCCCGTCGTTTGTAAAGCAGGTATTTGACTTAGTTTTTGCACACATTTTCTCATTGCGAAAAGACGCTCATCTTGCTACATCCTTCACCATCTTGGTTTGATATTTAAATCTGAGGATTTGCAGCGGAATCTCTACAACGTATTTCGGATCAGGCCAAGAGCTGCCCTTTTGGGCCCTAGGAGCTTCATATTTCGACGTGTCTGTGCTCTTCCGCTATACGCACTCTAGGTATTAAGTCCGAAAACTACAAAACCAAATGGAAAA